TGTGCATCTTGGTTTCCATCCGAAATCGCTTGTTATTGAACTGAGAACTTTTCCTCTGTCTAGCTAGCAATATCACTAGGAGTAAATGTGCTAAGGGGGAAACTGCTTAGCTTTTGATTTCTCAAATGTTTTTCCTGAGACCCAGTCATCTTTACTCTGGGTAAAGAAAAAAAACCCTTGGGTACCCCCTTTTACCTTGTGCTGTTGCTGTTACTATGAAGATGTAGACAGTATGTGTGACTCTAGCTGTCATCAGATCATTCATGGACACAGTGCAACATCATACCTGTTAGATCATGGCTTTGGTTCTGCCAGGAGGCCTGGTGGGAGCAGCTGGCATGATGCGTGCTGCCTCTTGTGACCCATGTGCACCATCCTGCTGCCCAAGGCCTTGATGTAGCCCCCACAGGGTGCCCTGCCTACACATTATCACACCCTGAAGAGCGGCCTATGGAGCACAAGAGAGAGCCGAGGGGAACATCCTCTCCTTTAATTCTGAACTCATATTCTGTAGGGGTGATTTCTGTGAGTGGTTAGTTGTTGTGTGAACTCAGGTATCTGGGCAGCGTTATGTGTGGAATATGTTGGCACGTTATGCTCGAGTCCTAGGGCTCAGCTGACCTTTATGAGCTTTATCTGCTACTGAATTAATGAACAAGGGCTTTATCAGCCATGTAACTTTGGTGACAGAAAATTCTTGGAGAATTGGTCTGGGACTGAAAGAGGTAATAAAAATCTAGAGCTTAGGCCCAGTGCAGTGACTGAAATAGGAAAAACCACTCGTACAGTGAATTGTTTGTTTATAAGCGATGCTTATAAATACGACTTAATTTTTGTTAATTGATGAAATACCGGAAATGAAAATTTATCTAGATTTTCATTTCTGAATGGATCATGGGCTGTGGCACTGGCCGGGTAGGAGATGAAATCTTAGCATAGCCCAGGGTCCAGCACTGAGCAGTATTTCTGCAATCATAAGAATTTAACCCATTTTAGGTAGTACATATCCGATAATTTTCCTGTGCCACATCTCTGGCAGTGTTTTTTTGTGCATGCAACTTTGGCATTCCATCATTACCCAGTTCTCTTCAGTCCTCCCAGCGAGGCATTCAGGGTTCTGTCATTCTAGAAGCTAGCCTCTTCCTGATGTTTCACTGTGTCCCAGCCTCTTCCTGATGTTTCGCTGTGTCTCTGCATGTGAACGTCACCCGCTCCGACGTCAGAATATTCTCAAAACCTGTGTCTTAAGTACCTGGATTAAGGGGCGTGTCCTTCCTCCTCTGTAGGCTGGCAGCAGTTTGTTTGTAGCTTGTATCACTGAGACTACATAATTGTCTTCAGTTTACTTTTGTACAAAGTGATAGCACTCACTTTAAGGTAGAGACTGTTGCCCTGTTTTTAGTCTGTTCCCAGTGCCTTGTAATGGTGCTGCATACATACAGTAGTTGAAATTAATTTGAGTCAGTGACTGTCCTGCAAATGGGCAGAACTGTGGCTAATCCCTATAGGCTATGGAAACCCCGCTTAGCTGTTCACAGTTGGAAATGGGTCTGCAGCAGTGCAGATGCTAGCTTACTTTGCCCTCTGTTGTGTTTTAATAAACTAAACAGTAAAGCACTGTAATAACTGCATGATACATTCAGGATTTGGAAACATGGTGTGGATGAATTAGACAAGTGTTGTTAAGAGCTTGAATTGGGAAACGTGCTGTATCTGCTACACAAACTCCAGTAGCCTCTAGCCACATGGGGCTGTGAAGCTCTGGAAATGAGACTAATGCAACTAAAACACTGAATTTTTAATTTTTAAAAAAGTTTTAATTTACCTTACTTGAAATAGCCGGAGGTGGCTAGTGGCTGTTGGATTTGAGGATAAAGAAGCATGGCAGAGAAGGCAGGTGGGACAGCCTCCCATCTGCGCGGAGGTCTGTCTGTCACTGCCCCCAGCAGGAAGACTTCTGCATCCTAATCCTCAGCCTCCTTATGCTGTGGGCAAGGTCCCTGCTGTTGCAGACCCCGCTAAATTCTGAATCCCTGAAAGGTACCTGTTGTGCTTCTGTGAGCTCCCTCCAGTATTCTGGGTGGGGACATGTCTTGCTCGGAGAGAGATCAAAGGAGAGCTAAGAGAGGGAAAGAGATGGAAAGTTAAATATTGAAGGAAGGTGTTGGCCTTTTTTTACATAGCACAGGGAAGAGACTAGTATGTGGAGGGAGCACTTACATTTGGTAGATGTTCTTACACAGATCGCCACCTGAACCTGTGTGAGATATTTTTATTACCTACATTTTACATTTCTATTGTTTGTATTATTTACAGTAACTACATTTGACATCTACATATTGCTGTGTTTTTAGGAGCAGAGGTTTATTCTCACCTCTTTCCTGAAGCCCATGTTTTATAAAACTGACATGTTATCTAGTCTAGAAGGGAAGGCCCGGCAGTGCTTGGTGGCACATGCTTGTAATCCTAGCTACTCGGGAGCTGAGGCAGGAGAATCGCTTGAACCCAGAAGGCGGAGGTTGCAGTGAACTGAGATGGCGCCATTACACTCCAGCCTGGGCAGCAAGAGAGAAACTCCATCTCAAAAAAAAAAAAAAAAAAAAGAGACAACCTGCTGTGCTGGGAATGCTTGAGAGTCTGAGGAGAGAAAATGGTGGGTGGTGGGATTTGGAACCTCTGTCACAGCATTACTTCCTGTGCTTTTCTGTCTCCACAGCTATTATTGTAGGACGTACTGATAACAGCTCAGTAAATTTTCTTAAATTGATGAGAACAAGAACAGTCTTTTTGAGCACTGGTTAACAGTTATTAAGGAATGAATAAAAAATTGTTGAAAAACAGGGAGAAGACCAAGTCAGCATGAATTTTGAGTGCTCTGTGTTTTGAACATGAGATTTTTCCTAATACTTGTGACTCGCTGATTCCCCTGACTCTGACTTTCTCCAGCCACTACTTAGCAGCCGCAGAGCGGAAAGCAGTGCGCAAGGCGGAGACACCCAGAGACTGGAGGAGAGGTGGAACCGGGAAGTCCTGGGCCTGAGGTGCTGCCTGCAGGGTTGAAAGGCCAGCAGACAGTTGGGAGCCAGAGCGTGCTGTGGTCTGAATGTGTTTTCCCAGATCATCTGTTATTACAGATGATCACCAATTGGATGGTATTAAAAGGTGGGCCTTGGAGGTGGTTAGGTCATGAGGATGGAGCCCTCGTGAATGGGATCAGCACCCTTGTAACAGCTGTGAGGGAGCTGTTTTGCCCCTTCCCCCCGTGAGGATGCAATAAGGGACCACCTGTGGGTGCCTTGGTCTTAGGCTTCCAGCCTCCAGAGCTGTGGGCATTTCTGTTGTGGGTAAATGACCCAGTCCACGGTGTTCTGTTCCCAGCAGGGGTGGACTGAGGCTGTGTGCTCATCAGAGAGATGGCAGAGCAGAAGCAGTGTCCCCATGAGTTGTAGGCCAGGACCCTAGTCCCGGGCTCCGTCCACCTTTGTGTTGGATGCCGACGTCTTTCCTTTTTTTTTTTTTGGCATTCCTCAGTCATTTTGGTCAAGTACCTGCTCTGGGAACTTCCTGAGGAGCGAGTGCATGCCAGGCAGTTAATCCATGTGAGCGCTCACGGTTGACTCAGATGGAGACAGTTAGAGGAAGCAATTTCCGCCCCCGTTTCAAGGGGTGCTTCAGTGTTTCTGGGCTCTGGTGCTGAGGAGGCCCATGCTTTTCCGCATTCTTGGTGTGAACAGGTGTTTCTCAGAGCTCTTTGCATCCTTTTTTCTGGGCTTCTGAATGACTCTGCTGTTGTCTGGGGCCTCGGTTTTCTTTTGACCTTGTGCCAATGTTTGTGGACACCTTCGATCTTGTGCCTTGCACTCTTTCTGTTTAGTCGTGTGATGATTTCTTTGATTGACTTATGCTTATATTTTTGGTTTTCTGTATCAGCAACTTTTATTCTGATGTGGAATGACTATAATACTTCCTTTTTCCCCTTTGCTCCTTTATTCCCCCCGCTTTTTAGGCAAATGTATTTGTCGTCCTTTCATGCCTTCTTATAATTAAGGCTGGTACACTGAAAACGCTTTGGAAGTGCTGTCCGAGAGTTGGGACTGGCTGACTCGTGTTTTCTGGAGGAATCTCTGGTGTTCATGTTTTTGGTCACTTTTTCTGTGGCTCCCATTCCCTAGGTAGGAGGATGTAATCCTTCTGGTAATATTATGGGTATCTGGGGAGCAAAGACAGCCTGGGGTGCAGGGAAGGTGGTAGGAGTTCACGTGGGTCTCCTGTTTTCAGCACACGTGCCCCCTGCTCCGGGTTGTTGCTGGTGCCCTCCAGAAAGTCTTAGGCCCAGAGAGGTGAGCGCGTACCCCGTTAGGCATACCCCCCACTGAGGCAGCACCACCGGGGGCCCTGATGCCCGAAGCTTGTGCTGACTCGTCACCCCTCATGCAGCTTCCAGTGCTGGTTCTGGTCATCTCTTCTTCATTCTTTTTGTTCTCGTGAGTTTATGCTTCTTGGAAAAGCCTATTAACTGTCAGGATGCTGTGGATCTGGGGAGGAGAGGCACCTGATAGATGGGCTTGCTTTCCAGTCTCTAACCTGAAGGGAAAGGCGGTTTTTGTATTTTTTGTTAATCTTGATGCTGCTGCTTTGGTAGAAAACCTCACAGACTGAATAACCACATTCAATAATTCTCCTTTATGCAAAGCTCTGTGACATCTGTTTTTCTTGCTGCCCAAAGAGCTTGGGCCTGAGGGTTGGTCGGGATGCCGTGCGCGGTCCTGGCAGTCTGAACACTGCCGGAGAGGACCTGGCAGCAGAGCTGCTTTCTGGGCGCCGCTTCTCTCTGCTAGACTCAAGGCAGCAACATGTGTGTGCTGGGATCGGGGCCTCTTGTTTTCACAGACAGGTGCAAAGGGAGGTTTTCCTTACTCAGAGTATTATATGTCTGTCAGTTCGCAGTTGTCCTGTCTGTAAAACTGATGACTCTTTCCCTTTGTGTTGCATTTCTCCAGGTTGCCCGAAGCTCAGCAGAGAGTCGGAGGCTGCTTTTTAAACCTGATGCCGCAGATGAAAACCCTGTACCTCACGTATTGTGCCAATCACCCTTCTGCAGTGAATGTCCTCACGGAACACAGGTTCGCTCGCTAGGCACCTGGGCAGCGGGGAGGGTGGATGGCTCTGTGTCCTTCAAATAGTGCATGAAATAGGATGATGCCAATAGTCCCTTGGTTATTAAAGGATATGAATTTTAATTACCCCTCAAAATTAGTGCTTGAGAAGTACTGGTAAGAAGTCTTTGAAATGATGGTATTTCTGTAAAAAGTCATCTTTTTTGATGTCTTCCCTACAGCCTGAAGCCCTTTGGTTAATAGGTTGAAGGGGTTGATAAGTGTTCTGGGGTGTAGCCACAAGCTTAGTCAAGGGTCCTGGAATCATATTTCTCTCCGTTCTTAAAACTGGAAGTACATGAACCCAAGTTACATCAGCTGTAAGAAAAAGTATCCCATTTCAGATTAATATTAGGTTTTATACACAAAACGTTACATTGGAGACCATTAGCTTTTCAACCTGAAACTAAAAACAAGTGCAACAGAGAATGCACAAATGTTTTGCTTATTTTGTGAGGCAAGACAGTGTCTGCTTCCTGCGAATTGGAGGAAGATGTTTCTCAGCTGTTTCAGTTATTGAGGAGGATCTCGGTTGTTAGTGTTAAGAATTGATTTGTTTGAGGATTGGCTTGGAGGAGACCACACTGGGGCTTAGAGAGCTCAGAGGCTCACTTTCTGCTTCTAAAAGAGACCAAAGATTTGTATCAGTGTTTTACAAAACATTTCATAATTTCTTTTGAAAACAGGAATTCACATATTTTTAAAACCATAAATGGAAAAAGTATTGTTTTAGTAGCATGAAGATAAATGCCATTTTCTTTCTAACTTAAATATTTAACTTCAGCCTAACCGAACATTTCAGCTTAAAACCTCTTCAGTGAACAGGTGTTGGTTGCCTCTTTAGAAGCACATCTGGGGCTCAGGTGTGGCACTGCGTGGGTGTCCTAGGACAGCTCAGACATGGCAGCACAGTGGAATCGGCTCAGGCTGCTCCCTTCAGGCTCTGCAGCCTTGGGCAGATTTCCTCCTTCTCTGGGTTTCAGCTTCCTTTCCTGAAGGAACTCATTCACAGGGATGTTATACGCATTCAGCTAAAACTGTCAGCAGGTCAGCTCAGGGTGAACATGCCAGATGCTCAGTGAATATTTTGTTGTCCTCTATTTTTTTTTTTTTTTTTTTTGAAGACCCTGGATAGTTACTGTTTCCTGGGTGTGCTCAAATATAAAAAGATTAAGATTTGTTTGAACTTCCTATTTGTTACTAAAGCATCTGCAGCCCAGAAAGGAAACAGCAGCCTTGAACAATGCAATGAAAGGAAAGGAAGTTAGAACTCACAGCAGTCGCAGATGAAGGAAAACCCAAAGAAACCTCCCTTTGCACGTCCCGTTTGGGAGTGTGGGCTGTGTCCGCAGCACCTCCAAGCATCCAGCATGTTTCCAGTTACGCACTATGCGCCCTACGCCTGGGAATTTATACATTGAATGAGATTTCCAGAAAGCACAATGCAAGTGTTAAATTTGTATCTCTGGAAGTTCTTCAAGAATTATTGATGGAGTGATGAGGAAGATGAACAGAAAGTTCATCTCTCTGAGGACCTGTCCTAAAAATGACATTGAAAGTCACTGGGACTGTTAGTTTCCTAAAATGTGAAGCCATTCAAGAGCAGTGCTTGTGGGCGTGTGCTGCGTTTATCCTCTTCTCTGTTATTACCTTAATTAGTGTGTTTGTCAGGTCTTAATGAACGTGTAGCATTTTCCTGAAGTAACCAGAAGAAAGAATACAGGTGGGTTTTTGAGTCAGGAGGGTCTTTGTGCCTCCTTCCCAGGGCTGCCCAGAGAGTGGAGGGGCAGGCTGAGGCCCACTCTGGACAGCAGCCCCGGGGGCAAGTCACTGTTGATTTAGTGCTGGGAGTCAGAGCTGCAGCGAGAGGAAGGTCCCCCGAGCCAGCAGGTGCCGCCACTGTGGAACCTGAAGCTTGTGTGCCCTCCTGAGTTCCCTGCGCCATGAGAGTTCTGCCTCTGTTGGCCACACATTCCTCCCTACGCCAAAGAGCACGGCAGTGAATTGGGGTCGGGCTTCCCTGTGCCAAGGCTCCTTCCTACTTCCTGCCTTTGTGCTTGGATTCTTTCTTGTTCCTCTTGCCGGCTTTTCCATGTGTGTGACCGTCTTTAAGCTGCCACGCCTGTGGGTAGACTAATCTGCTCATGCCGTAGTATAATTTTTAAGGATTGGGTCAGGTGTGGTGGGTTGAAGTTTAAAGTCTTATTTGCATCTTCACCGTCCTTGTGTTACTTGGGTTTAAGTTGTAAGTGTGAGCCCTGCAAGTGCAGAATGCCAACTCTGAGCGTTTTAGCAGCTCTGACCTTCCACGGTGTCCAGGGATGGAGGCAACACTTGTCCATGGCCAGCTATTTTGCATGAACTATGAGTGCCATAATTTAGTCTGTAAAAACGATTTTTTCCCCAGCAGTTTGTTCTTCTGCGCTTGGCTCTGTGCTTGCGTGTGTTTTGTGGCTGCCGTCAGCCCACAGCACTGTGTCAGTAAGGACTGAAGAGACCCACTATGTGCGAGGCTGCTGGCACCAGCAGAAGTGAAGCTGAAAGAGCCATCTTCGGTTAGAGTAGCTGTAACTAGCTGTTTCGTCTTACTGTGGCACTACTTTTTTTTTTTTTTTTTTAAACTTCAAACTGAAACTAAAATGATCCACAAATATTTATAAAATTTCATTTCCTTTTTAACTGTATTTGTTCTGGCATTGTAAGAGTGTCTTGTGGATATTAAAAGGAGTTTTACTTGCACACATTTCACTTTTTTGGCTTCAGAGCTTTTTTTGAGGGAGTGGTGATGAGGGTAACTGTTTAGTTTTGTTAATTTTTCTCTGCTGTACCATAGTTAGGAAATTTCACAGGTAACCCTGAAATACAAATAATGACCTGAATGGATTTTTCCTTGATTCTTATTTTGGTGGAAAAGGTCCTTATGTGGATTACATTTTAAGGGGTTGAAATATATTTTTAGTATCGTAAAATTTGATTTTCATGGGACCACCTGATAAATTCTCCAACACCTAGAGAATTGTTGGTAAAATATAAATCGCTCCTGTCTGAAGCCCTCATGTCACTCTATTCATGCTTCAGGAATGGATAGAGTGAGTAGTGGAAAGGGGAGCACTTCTGAGTAAACTGGGCAGAGGGGAGGGACATGTGTGTGCAGAACAGACTGCCCGTGGTCAGAGGGGCCGGCCGTGCCATCCACATAGTGGGGATCCGCCTTGGGTGCAGAGCATCAGCCGTTCTGCCGGCAGTGATGGCTTGGGTAGTGGCCTTCATACAGGCTGTCCTCTGTATCACTTGCAGAATTGTAGGTCTGCCCCGCCTAGAGTGATGTTTGAGGCATTGATGTCTGTGAGTGCCTACCCTGGTGCCCAGCATGGTGAGTGGTCCCGTGGCTCCTCTGTCCTTGTGGTCCTGCTGTCCACAGAGTGCTCACTGTTGACCCAGCTGAGAAGGGGGCGGGGGACAGTGGCTGTAGTGGCTGCAGTGGAGGGGAGTCTGTCCTGGACCTTCCTCAGTTCCCCACCCATCTCCCCGGGTAAGGTGAATAGTGAGGAAAGAAGGCAGAGGACGTGTCCATGTTTAGAAATGATAGGAATACGTGCGGTGTGCTCCCGGGCTCACGTCAGTGCAGCCTCACAGTGAGCAGGACACCTTGCTGTGCAGGTGTTACCCACAGCAGGCCCCTGAAGTTGGCACTGCACTTTATTTCAGTAACCTCCAGCCTGGGATTGTCTCAAGGAAATGATTTTTGGAAAGCACAAAGTTATAGACAACAGATGTTGAGTTGTCTGTTGCCCACAAAAGTGCACGTGCTCTCGTGCGTGTGCGCGCTGTCTCACACAAGACACACACCACCACATACCCACACTCAGACGTACTCGGACAGTTTCTGTGCTACTAATTTTTAAAACAGCATCGACATGATGGGCAGCCTTACAGAAATAATTATGAAGCCTTATATATGGAGTTGATAAAATGTTTCTCGTCTTATTTTTTAATAAGTGGATATAGGCAACATTACCCTTTTTTATAATTTGCTTTAGTGTTGATAATACCTGTTTAAGTGTGTATATGTATTTGTTCATTGAGGGTATTTCTTGTTGGCAAGGACAGACGGAGGTGCTGCACCCGCATTGTTACTGTTTTTACACAGCCTAGGACCGCACCCTGGCCTTGGTTAATGAGACCACCCTGGTTTTGTAGAAAGCATGTAGACGTGAGTGGCCTTCTCGGAGGGTCGTATGTGCTGAGGAAGGGGAAGGCTGGTTTCCTAGTGAGCGTTTGGTTTTCAGGATGGTGTTTGAATTGGTTTCACTGGGGGACATTCTCACTAGCTCCCTTGGCGGGGAATCCACATGGAATAAGGAGAGTAAGAAGCGGGAAGGGCTGGCACCACCCTGGCTCTCAGTCCTCCTTATGGGAAGCTATGTTTCGGTTGAACTCTCTGAAACTGTTAATATTCACTGTTTGTGGAGTATTTCCTCTGGGTTAACCTAAACACTGTCTGTCTGTTCCCGGGGAGCCCTTGATGGATCTGGTGTCCCCTAGACCTCTGGCAGTGGCCAGCTTGGCTGTGGTGTGGTGCATTGGGAGGCTCCTGTGAGACCAGAACCGGAAATTGGCTTGTTTCTCAGTTTTGCTGTTAGGATTTTCATATTTATTTTAGGACATCGTTTACATAATGAGGATATAAAAGTATCTTTTCCTTTTAAGGGAAAACCTCTAGACTAGGAAAATTTGTTCCTAGGATGAGTGTGCCATGGGTATCATTTGAACCCAGCTCTGCTGACTAGAGACCCCTGTATTCTAGGATGGGGCGTGGTGATGGGGAGGGGGGTCACCTGGGTCTCCTGGATGGGATGTGGTGACTGAGAAGTCACCCTGGTCTCCTGGACCTGGCATTGGCTGCCAGCACTGGTGCTGCCTCCCCTCCTTTCTGTGGGCTGCACACTGTCAGATGTGTGGACTGATGGCACATGCAGTGTGAGGGACAGCAGACCCAGGGCCTGGCAGAGGCCTCAGAGATCGCCAGTGAAGGGGTGTCGCGGTCAGGTGACTGTCAGCCTTAACAGACGTGTGGGTGAAGAGCTGGACCCCTCAGAATCCTGCCCGTGTCCTCTGCCACAGCTGTGGGAACTCTGAGGACAAAGGTGACGCACACGAGGACCCACTATAGGGAAAGCTAGGCGAGGCACCGTGAAGGGAATGGTGAAAGAGGAACACGGGAAGATCTAAAACTTTCTAACTCCTTAATTTTGGGATATACACTCAGTTTCTTTGTCCACACACAGGGACCCCTTCCTTCCTTACGTGTTGTGAGGATTGAATGTAACAATGCTTTTGAAGTTCTAAAGCATAAATCAGCATTCGCTGTCTGCACGCAGGGACCCCTTCCTTCCTCATGTATTGTGAGGATTAAACGTAACAAAGCTTTTGAAGTTCTGAAGCCTAAATCAACATTTGCTCTCTTCTCTTGCTGCTTCTCCCACTCCTCACCCCAAGAGCCATTGCTTACTCCCAGGCTGAGTGCTGGCAGCACCTGGGTGGGGCCTTCTTGCTGGACGAACTCACCTCTGAGAATGAGCGCCATTGGCGTGCTCTAGCTCTTTACCGGAGCAGCTCAGTCCTTGTTCTTACCACCTGGAGACTCTGAGATTATTGGACTCCATTCTGGCTCTGAGCGTGCACGTTTCCATTGGACATGTCTGCATGGCACTGATGTGCCAGAGGGCCTCGGCATCAGTAGGATCTCATGGAGACCCACACATCCTGTGCTGTGTAGTTACTCTTGCTCATATGAGAGCAGGAACGGGACCCCTCAAGGGTGGGAATCCCCTTTGGCATTTCCAGATAAGCAGCGCAGATTTGGGATCAAAGCTGGAGCCTTCCAGATGTTAAAAGCAACACTCATGTTTCATAAATTCTGGCTGTTGCTCATGGAGATCAGAGAACCACCATTGCCTCTCATTGCTAACCACAAGTGTCTCCCTTGCCACTTGCTGCCCAGTGAGGAGTTGGGGGAGTTCATGGAGACCAAAGGTGCCAGCAGCCCTGGGATTCTCGTGCTGACCACGGGCCTGAGCAAACCCTTCATGCGCCTGGATAAATACCCTACGCTGCTCAAAGAGCTCGAGAGACACATGGAGGTACTGCACTTTCATTCTCTTACTCGGAGTCCTTACCAAGGGTTAGTGGCATGGTCAGACTTAACTGTGAAAGAAAGTATTATTCATGATTTATTTTAGAAGCCAGAACCAACAGAGTTTACAAAGAGTTTTTACTTAGTGGATTGTCAAAATGATTTTGTTAAATATTATGTTTTTCTCCTTACTCCAGCTCTATTAAAAAACATTTACCACTTATCTCTCTTTTACCCACTGCTGCTGGTTGAAAAGTTTCCAAAAGCTGAAACATGAGAACTGATTTTCAGATAATGTTGAGATGTCTTATCTGGATCATCAGCTACAAACAATGTGTGCATAAGTTATAGGGTAATACTGTACTAATCATTTAATGAATGATTATGCTCTTTTAATTTTGAATAACAGGTTGCAGCCTAGCAGAAATTTGGGTTAAAGTAACTCTCTTGGCTTGAGTTGGCAAACCTTTTCTGTAAGGGGGCAGACTGTAGGGTCTTCATCACAGCTACACGGCTCTGCCATTCTGGATACTGCATGTGAGCCGCGGCAGTGTTCCAATAAGACTTTATTGATGAAGCAAGTGTTGGCTTCCCCACCCCTGCTGCTCGTGACTGTTCTCTTTCAACGTATGTTTCCCCCAAGTCTGATGGCTTCATGATTTTCTGAAAGACTGACACTTTAATGCTGAGGGAAAAAGGGAATATTAAGGGTTGAAAAGTATTAGAAAAGTTTCAAGCTGGTCTGTAGAAAGTACCTTTTTAAGAAAAGCTTTTCCTTATGAAAGCTAATTGTATGTTTCTTTTACTCAAAGGATTATCATACAGATAGACAAGATATTCAAAAATCTATGGCTGCCTTCAAAAACCTTTCAGTAAGTGATTAAGCATATTGTTTTTTTCCCCCAGACATTATTGTGACAAATGAATGTAAAAGAATTATCAACTGAAAAAGTCAAATGATTAAAAAATGACTTGTGCTGACATGAAAGAAAAACAGAGTCGGCATTCTATGGCTGGTAAACTCCTTTTAGTGGACTATGATAGAATAATTACTTAATTTTTAAAATCGCAGTATAATTGATGTTAGATCTACTTTAAAATTATTTAAAACATTTTTTTACCCTTCATTCGTGTTGTCTTTAATGATTTATTGCAAAACAGAACAATGGTGGTTCCATTTTCTCTGCTGTTGTGTTGTCTTACCAACTGCATTTTTGAAATATATGCCTTATTTTATAGCTCAAGTTATACTTTGTTTCTTCTCTTCAGTCTTCTATATTGGCAAACACTAACAAAACCAGAATGAAAATACAGTTTTGTTCTGTCCACATTTCTTTTTCGTACAAGTGGCAAAATCTGCTATATTTTTCTAAAATAATACTTAGTATTCCAGAGCAGTTGTGTGCGTTGCTTCTTTTGACTTGATTTCATACTTTCAAGCAAGTACTTTCAATTCCATATAATTAAGCAAATCATTCAACAGATTATCTGTCTGAAGAAGTAAGATATAAAGCAATAATTGTCTTAAGGACGATACAAAGCAATGTGGCCAAAACTTAAGATTCTGGAAGTTTCTGTCTGTTAACAGTGTTGTTCTGTGTCTGTCAGGCCCAATGTCAAGAAGTCCGGAAAAGGAAAGAACTTGAGCTGCAGATCCTGACGGAAGCCATCCGGAACTGGGAGGGCGATGACATTAAAACTCTGGGCAACGTCACTTACATGTCCCAGGTCCTGATCCAGTGTGCTGGAAGCGAGGTACTGCTGCCCACATGTATGCACCAGGGTTTCTGTCCCACTCTTAGGAGCTCGTAACAGAAGGTGTTAAAGGCATCTCCGGCAATGAAAAACATCTAATAGAAGCTCTATCTTATAATTTGTGAGCTACTTTTTATTCTTGACACAGGAGAGAGGCTTATGGCATGTTAGAGAGGCTTAGAGCTGAGTGTGGACTTGCTGACCAGTTTGATCCAGCTGAAGTCAGTGTGGCCTGAAACCCACGTGAACTGAAGGATAGCACGCAGAAAGACCGGCAGGAGTCCCGTGCACACATCTGCACGGAGCTGATCTGGCCAGCAACTTGTACCAAGGCTCGCTCTCACAGGGACCTGCCGCGCTCAGTGCTTTCAGGTCATTACACTTTCCTGTGAAAGCTGACACATGCTTACAGGAGTCACCGTTTTCTTACGGGTTTGGTTTCAGTGAGAGATCAACTCCGATTTTTGGGACATACCCACCCACACGGTGAAAATCGAGCCGTTTGTTTCATGATTCACATTGACATGCATTCAGTGGGTCACTAAACAGGCACCTCTTTTTGAATTTTATTCTACCTCTGCAAAAATAACATGATCAAAACATGCTAAATGACTCATTTTTGAACACGAGACTCTAAGGAGAAAAAGAAAACTAAAACTTGAAACTTTCACAGTGTGTTTTCCTTTCTACCTATAAAATATCACCCCTTCTACATAGTCCTGTAGTTTGGGTACCATAAGAAACCATGATTGTAAAAACCTCACATCTTTTCAGAAGCACTTTCTTTTTGAATCATGCTCTTTTAAACTTTAATTTTTAAAATTAAAATTAAATGTGTAAACATTTCCCAAAGTGTGTTCTTTATAATATTAGATCTACACAATGCTGGTGGGTGTTACTTCAAAATGCTTCAGAGTGGTTCTGATCACGACTGAACATGATTAGTGGAAAAGATTCTTTATGACAGAGCTCCTCAGAGACTTGGCTCTCAATGTTCCCAAAGTATGTTGTGAGTCTTCAAGAGGGGGCTATAGCAAGTCGTTCTCAGTGGCTTCTTTAAAGTATGGAAGACTCTTTTCAAGGTGCTTTGCATAAGCCTAATGTTCTGAGGAATATACTTGGGGAAACTAATTCCTAGGACTGATTACACTTTTGGGGGCCGTAGTTTAAATGCCAACATGTGAAAAGGACTGTCTGGCATTTTTTTGTCACTTTTCGGATTCTTAGGAACTTTTTTCTTTCACTTATCGTCTCTTTGGCTTTTATCTTACTGAAGCAAGTGATTTTTAATACATAAGTAATACTTTTAAGTCTGATGTAAACCAGGTGATGTTTATGGGGTGGATGAAAACAACACTGAGTTGACATTTGGGAGGTTTGGGCAGTGCCAGGAATTATTAGTAGACCGAAATTGATTTTAACATTTTATCCTATCCTTCCTTTAGCTTAAAGACTTCACCTGTTCACCCCACTAAAATGTATAGGTTCTCTCCTTTTTCTCTGAACTAGAAAAAGAAAATTTTAGCTTACCTGAAAATAATCACAGAGCTGAACTCCTTAACCAGATATATTTTCAAGATGTTACACAGGCTAATTGTGACTGCAGGATCTTTTAATCATTCAGTTTAGTTTCTTACCTTTTGTTTTTTGAAGAATTTAGAAATCCTTCTCTTTACCTATATGTCAAAGCTCTCTCTTTATCATATATTAAGACTTAATACAGAATTTATCATAATTGTTTCCATTTAGTTTACCTGTAAAACTTGACAGAAATACCTAAATGAGAAATACCATGTGATGTTTCATAGGGTCTAGTATAAATAAGTATTTGTGCTCACATTTGTAAGTAGATGTTTTTTAAGAAATGTTTTGGGTTTCTTTTTTTGTATTAGGAAAAGAATGAAAGATATCTTCTGCTCTTCCCAAATGTTTTGCTAATGTTGTCTGCCAGTCCTAGGATGAGTGGCTTTATCTATCAGGTAAAACACAATCTAAATTTATATTTTATTGTGGATCTGAGGATAATTTCAGGCTGGCTTTGAATTTTGTGTTAAATATTACATGTATCTGTGTATGTGCTGTGTGTGTAATGCTGTATGTTCAGATATGGATGTACGGCTCCTGTTTATGTTTCGTTGTGACTATGCAAGCATATCCTATGTTAATTTTAAAAAAGGAAAGAAGTGTAAATGTAGAGCAACCTCATAAGGACACAGACTGTGGCACAAGTCAGCCTCTGTCATTGCCTTCTGTCATTTCATGCAAAATACCTTGCTGCTCCTTGCTGTAGTTTTGTTTTGTGAAATGGGTTCAGCTAGGGCTTATGGGTTAGTGGGGTAGTGTAGACTAAGGTCTTGTGTCAGTGGCACAGCACTGCCCAAATGCATCAGCAGATAGAAAGTGATGTAAGTATGTAAGTAGCAGTGTGTGATCGTTGAACCTTTTTAATTTTTGTTTCCCTGCTTTTCTTGGAGAAAATGTGACAGCGGATTTGAGAAGGAGGTGCAAGGGTGAGCAGGGCCTTTTTCTGTTATGACAGTGGTTTATAGTGGTGGTATGTGAAGGAGCTGGTATTTTTGCTGTCTAGTAGCTGCACTTGGCAGATTTCATTCTTTTTTTTCTGTGAAGTAATAGAAGCTCATATCCTTCCCATCAACTTTCTGAGGACTGGCCAGTCACCACATAACCACTGCAGCAGAAGCCACCACTTCGTGTTCCCTGGGTTGCGTTTCATTGTAGCATGTGTTGCTTTGTGTCGTCCCAGCAAGGGCGTTAGAGAACCCTGAGCAGACACTGTGCCTTCACAGAGGCTTTGTCGACCACCCAGAGAGGAGTTGTCGTCATACGCTTACTCTAAAACGGGTGCTTTAGAATTGATGAATCACATATTTAGGAAAAGACTCAGGAAAATAAGGCTGTAGTTTGTAAGGCCACTGCTGAAGAGAGGTGATCTGTGGCTAAGGTGGTGCCCACTAGAGTTTTCCAATAAACTAGCAGCTACTTCTTTGTTAAATGACCTTGATAAACCTAAATCTCTGTCCTTTCTGGTCAGCACTATCTGGCTTCCTATTTTATATCCCCAGAGTCTCATTCCAGTGGCTGGAGACAGGAGCCTTCTCTAGCCTAAGGGAGAAGAGGTTGCTACTCGTGGCAGGCTTGAGTCTCTGCCTGTGGGACTGGGGCTCACACTGGCTTTACCCTTGACGTGCTGACAGACTGCTGGGGCTCATCTCAGCGACAGGATTCTATTTTTCCGTTCTTAGTACAGTGGTGACCCATGGTCTCTGTATCGTCAGTCTTCATTTCTACCATTGGAACACGGGCTTTGGGGGATGCTAAAAAGTGTTCGATCCAGCCACAGCCACAGTGCTCTGTACACCGATGTTCCGATGGGCTAGGTTAAACACAGTTGTGCAGTTTCATTTTCTGTAGCACTCACAGCTGTTAAAGTACTTATATGCATTGTGAATCTTGGAAAGGAGTTCGCAGTGTGTAGCATTTTTAAAATACGCTTGGCCACAGAAGTGTCCAGCAGTCTCCTCTTCCACCTGCCGTGATTTAGGATGAGATTTCTCCACCTGGGCACTGCTGATGTTTTGGACTGGAGCATTCATGGCCCGGGGCTGAGGGCTCAGTGAGACTCTCCTGGGTACTGTAGGGTATCGGCAGCCTCTCTGGCCCTTACTTGCTGGATGTCTGAGCCCCTGCCAGGTTGTGGCACTGCCACCCATTCTCTGGGGGGGCATGTTCCCCACACCCGTTGAGCGGCACTCCCACTGGAGGTGCTTATGCAGAATCCCGCTCCGCAGCTGATGGAGTGCTCCCCAGGCAGCACGACCCAGACGCCACTGCCTCTTCCTGAGGACTTGGTGGGCCACCGTGTACTGTGGTTTCTGTCAGCTGTGCCAGGCTGTTTTGTGTTCACTTCTGATTTGTTTGTAATGATCACTTTGTACCCCGTTTCTGGTGTCTTTTCCATTGACATTTCCTCTTGCAGTTTCCGGTTTCTTCCATTTTCAGGGAGCGTTGGTTTGCCAACCATTTTCTGCATTGTGTGCAGCATTTAGCACAACTACTTATTTTCTGTTGGGTGGATTACAAAGTAGAATGTTACGCAGTTCTTGTTCTTGCCTCAATTTCCCACCCTTATTTTGACTTTAAACTTGGAGCTTCCTCTGTATTTCTTTATGAGGCAAATACATGCTTCTTTTCTGCAAAAACATCATTTAAAACAACTGTTACACCTGGTAGTTTTTTAAAAATCGTAATGTGTGATTTTTTTGTCCTGGTGTCTGTTTAGTAGCAGCTCATCAGATGCAGTGTGTGTTTGGGCTTGTCATTCTGTCCCTTGTCGCCAGTTGAGTTTCTTGCTTACAGTACAGTATTATGATTTATTATTTGAGATAAAGATTTTTGTATTATACATGCATCTGCTACAAACGAACTCTTTTTGGTTCACAAACACAGTTCCTCCACCAATTCTAAAATCATTTAATATTACTTTAATAATGGTACCTTTTTCTAGAAAAGCACTAATTGTTTTTTTTTTGTGGGGGGGTCTTTTTTAGGGAAAGCTTCCAACGACAGGAATGACAATCACAAAGCTTGAGGACAGTGAAAACCATAGAAATGCATTTGAAATATCAGGTGATAGGCACAAGCTGTGTGAGTGCCGTGTCTCGGGGAGGAGAGGCAGCTTGTCCCCGCGTGCAGATTCTTGCTTGCGTATTTCAGAAGGTGGTGTTTAAGCGTTGAGTGGAAATCTGGGGGCTGTGTGTGCATGCACGCACTTTTTACCTGTGTTTCCACTCAGCCTATTTTTTCCTTCTCTCCTCTAGGGAGCATGATCGAGCGGATATTAGTGTCATGCAACAACCAGCAGGATCTGCAGGAATGGGTGGACCACCTACAGAAGCAGACGAAGGTCACATCTGTGGGAAACCCCACCATAAAGCCTCATTCGGTGCCGTCTCATACCGTAAGGACCTGGCGCTTCTCCTCCTCCCAGACTCCAGGCGTGGCGTCCCGTGGCTGAGCTGTCAGCAAGTGATCACGTACTTTAAAACCTGATCAATATTGGGATAAAAATGCAAAACACTTGCTTGATATTTCTCTGAAAATATTTGGCCCTCTTTGTGCAGTAGTGAATTGTTTTCCAATGAGTGTTCTCGAGAAACAACCCTGAATTGTGCCTCCTCACGCACAGCTCAGAGGTGCTTGGGTGGGAAGCTGCTTTTTCTCAGCGTGTCCCTAGAAGACTAATTTAGGGGAGTTTTACACTAAACTATGGTTGATTTTTCTGAGAATTTTAACTGTTTATTATGCTTCATTTAAGAAAACAAAAATAAATGATTATGATGATGAAAAGGGCCAGATTCATGTTGAAGGCATTAAAATAGAATTTATGGAAATTGAGGTGTCTTTTACTTAGAAAAGCTCAGCAACTCTTTGAACTTTTAGAGAATTACAACTTTTCAAAATAGATGAACACTGAATTCGGTTGCAGTGTTTAAACCTCTCCTGGTGTTTTTTGCTCAAGAAGTTGGTATTGGGTTGTTTTAACAGTCATCTTTATCAAGTAATACCGAAAAGCTGGGCAGAGCTTTTAAAGAGTGAGTGACGATGACACGGCATTTTCAGCTTGCAGATTCCCTCACATCCTTACTAGGTTATTAGGATCAGTTCTGTCGTGTGCTCAGTTTTCATGTTTTCTTCTTCATGGGAAGGTTGTAGATCAAGAAGGATTGCTGTATTCTGATATTCTCATCAGTTTCAGAGTCCATCTGATTTCTCTCAGCAGTGTGCGGATAACTACTCATTGGCTTTTAGCTAGCATTTCATCTTTAATGGCTCTGCCGTTTTAAAATTCTCCATTCTTTCGTGGAGATCAGTTTATCCCAGCGACATGTGTACACGTGTGTTTATAAAGAACAGTGGATGAGCAGCTTCACTCAGATTTTCAACAGCAGCCTGAAACTCTACTTCATACAATTTTACATCAAGTCAGCTTTTCTCTGTGGCCAGACCCTCCGTCTTAGTGTTTCTTTCACTGGTGGCGGGGAAGGCACTGTGCCTCATGTTTAAAATGTTCTGCGTTCTCCTACAGAGTTTCTTTTGTGGGATGATGTATTCTCCTGTGATCCAACTCTGTCCAACTGAAGTCATATTCTAATTTTAGCATAAAGCATACTTCCTTTGACTTTCTCAAGAAAGGAGAAACAAAACCAGACACTACTTAACTCTGACGTTGTTGCTAGGAGGGATGTCTTACATAATTTTATCCATCTATACATTATTTCCTATGAAAAGATGACGTTATGGTGGCTTCATAGCATGACCTGTATCTCACACGATTCCCTCCCCCATGCAGGGACTAGAATGTGATCATTGCAGAAAGTTGATGGCGTCTGTTCCGGAAATTGTGGCATTAGCTGCTGCGGGGCCTTCCCTTTCAGCCTGTTTTGAAGGTCGTGCACTTCAGAATGCCGACCCCACTCAGGTTTCCAGTTCACAGCGCCACACAGCTTGTTCTCCCATTAAACGCGCCTTACTATTGTTGGCTAATTTGAAGTCATTATTGGCTGATTTTGAGACTTACTTAACTTTTCTCATTTAACTGTCATTGTGATGGGATATTTCGGGTTTCCCAGGAATATAAAATTCATTAATGACATACCTCCTCTAAGAAGTTAATTTTCAATTAACTTTGTTTTGATTAAAGTTGAGTTTTCTAAGAAAATAACTGATTTTTATACCAGGGTTTGGCAGTGTTCTAGAAAGAGCCAGATGGTAAACATTCTCTGCTTTACAGGTTCAGGCCTCTTGCAGCTGTACTCTGCCCTTGTAACACAGCAGCAGCTTTAGACAGGCACGGGCCTGCTTGTGTGCCAGGAAAACTTTTTTAAAAAACAAAACTAGGCGATTGGGCCTTAGTTTCGCCCAGTACTTTATCACCAGGTGAAGAATAATACGTGACCGGGGGGAATCACCTTCCTTCTTACAGCCACATGACCTGTGTGCTTTTGTGAAATTCTCATCTTTTTACTAGATAAAGTACCTTTTTTTCCGTTAATGTTACTCCGTAGCTAATAAATGTGGCTAGTGGATGTCCGAGTGCGAGTGCTGGGGCGCCAGCTAGAGCTGCCCCTCCCGTCGGGGGCAGACGCCGTGGGGGGTCCCACGCTCAGCCCAGGTGGCGCAAGCTGGTGCTTGGCCCCAAAAACTACTGAGAGCCAGAGATTCGAACGAAATGATAAATGATAAATCCTGGGGTTTATTTCACATGAAGTGTTTGAAGAGCGGAAGGAAGTGCGTGATAGTGCCCTTTCACGGTGAGCACGCAAGTCTCACGTTCTCTGCCCTTCCCGCTCTGTGCCCTCGGCAGCTGCCCTCCCACCCGGTCACTCCGTCCAGCAAGCACGCAGACAGCAAGCCCGCGCCGCTGACGCCCGCCTACCACACGCTCCCCCACCCCTCCCACCACGGCACCCCGCACACCACCATCAACTGGGGACCCCTGGAGCCTCCGAAAACACCCAAGCCCTGGAGCCTGAGCTGCCTGCGGCCCGCGCCTCCCCTCCGGCCCTCAGCTGCCCTCTGCTACAAGGAGGTGAGGTCCCTTGACCACTCAAACAGCCAGACGCTGGTGAGCATGCCTTGGGCCCCGAGTGTGCCGGGCTGGTCCCTCTGTACGCAGCAAAATGCACCCTAACTCCTAGAGAACTGAGAAGGGGTCTGCCTTGGTTCTTTGGTTATCTGCTCTGCTGCTGAGAGGCCTGTGGTAACCCTGTGTGGGAAGGGGATGTGCAGATGTGCAGGGCCCCTCCTGTCTGTGCCATGCACAGGGGGGCCTTTACTGTGCTTGCCGGAGGAATGTGCCGCCGGGGGCCAGGAGCTGGAAAGGCGCTGAGCCCAGGTGACTTTCCCTTCCCGTGTGTGAGGCCGTCGCTCGGCGTCTGCATGCTGTCTGCTGCGTCTGACAACCCCTCCTCTAGGTTGGGGATCCTATCCAGGAGCCCTGCATTTTGTCACCCAGAAGCCGTTTGAGATGAAGAGAACATTTACCAATACAAATGAAAAAACACTTAGGCAGTTTCCCCGTTTGATGCATAAGAAATCATGATATAGTCTTTGCTTGTCTGTGTTCTGATCCAGCATTTTTGTATTTGCTAGGTGCAAATAAAGTACGATTCTAATGAATAAATATAAGTATTAACACTTTCTTATACTTTCACCTAAGCCAGCTTGGATGAGGAAAGGAAGCGTCTTGAGAAATGTGTTCTGAGAAATATTTTCACCTGAGGAAGCCGATAATTGAGATGAGCGTTGTTTTCATAAGCGGTTGAGCGTGCATGGTGGTGAGGTACGAGGAGTGGCGGTGAGAGTGTGGGTGGCCTGCATGCAGGTATGAGGAGCAGTGCCCGCTGGTGGGGTGTGAGTGAGCGTGAGGATGGTGATGCAGTCTTGCCTGGCGTCGCGCCTCTGTGTCTGGTCAAGGCCACATTTGCCAAGGGAACTGGAGCAGACTTTTTCTACATTCTTGCCAGCAGCCCTGAGGGTTTTAAGGCCCATAGGAAAGGACTGTGTAAGAAATTAGGATCTATGCTTTTCATTTTTTGGTCTTACTGAGTCTTTGTTTTTATGATATCTTTCAGGTAAGCATGTGTGCAAGTCAGAATTCTCATTTTCTGTCACGGGAAGTTACTTGAAGAATGTTGGTGTTCCTTATTGTATACTTTAGTGTGCACAGTGTAAAGAAAAAGTGAGCTACTGCAAGAACTGGTGGAGATTGAATTACTAGGGAAGAAAACTGGGATAAAACTGTTGGGAAAAGAAGTAGAAAGGGCAAGGGAAGAGGCATTGAAATGAAGATAAACAATTTGATTTTGGTAATCTGGCTGCAGTTGCTTTGCCCACTCCACACTGGGAGAGAAGGGCTCGCGCCGAGCAGCTGCTGTCCAGTGTTGCTGAGCGCCACACAGCATTAGCGCCACATAGCATTAGCGTGGGGAGTGGTCCTGCAGAGCACGAGAAGAGGGCGTGGAGGCTCGTGGAGGCCGCTCTGCAGCCTGCTCTGCCTGGCTCTGGGCGTCGGGTGTGCTGTGTGCTTCATGACCCTCTGTGCCCGCAGGTGCCCTCGGAGCACATGGTGGGTGGGCATTGGCTCTTCAAGGCTCTCCGTCTCAATTTGCTTTGAATTAGGGAAGCCAGGGAGCACATGTGTATAAATGTGTCTTCTGGAACGGATTGCTACTGCGTTTCTAAGAGCTTTACAATTTTTATAGAAAGATTTTTATTTAACTTTTTAAATGTTACTTTAGATTGAAAGTTTGTTACATGGCTGTGTTGGGTGATGCTGGGGTTTGCGCTTCTAGGGTACCTATTACCCAAATAGGAAACATTGTACCCAATGGGTAGTTTTTCAAAACTTGCGCCCATCACCCTCCCCCTTTTGGAGTCCCCAGGGTCTGCCATTTCCATGGTCATGTCCATGTGTACCCATTGTTTAGCTCCCAAGAAAAGACTTTTAAAGATAACTTTAAAAACCAAGCTTCGTTTCCTCTGTTTCCAGCCCGGTTCATTCTGTAGCGCACTCGTCTTCTGAGTCTTGGTTTCGCCTGTTAACATTTGCGATGGTTTATGTCACTGGCGTGGTGCAGAAACCAGCCTTTTTTTGATACCGGTATTTAACATGTGCTTGATAGTTGACACCTTACCTGCTCTGTTGGACTTGCTTTACTTACTTTGTATTTTGCTGTCGTCTTCTGTGCTTGTTTGAGAAGCTGTTTGAAGAGGTAAGGGGTGGGCAGTTCCGTTGTGAACACGCCTCTGAGCTAGTGTGCGTGTGGCCCCTGCAGAACAGCCCCGGCTGAGCTTGGCTGTGCTCCTGGCACTCAGAGTCGGGTAGCTGAGCACTGGCTCCCTTTTCTTCTCCCTGGGACTTCAAATAGTTTCTTAAAGCGATGACTTTTTACTTATCTGTCGTTTAATGATGACCTTAGTTTCCTCTCGTCTTTCCAGTTAGCTGTGCCGGGGGTGGGTCTGCCCCAGGGAGCCACTGCTGCCTCCTCCCCTCCTCCCTCAGGAGTGTGCAGGATGTCTGTGCACACCAGCGCCAGCCTGCCTCCTGGTGACACCTCTCATCACAGAACTAACAGGACCCAAATGGCACGAGGGGTTTTATCATAGTGAAGAAAAAATATTAGCCAATGACTAATACTGAGAATGCCCTATTGATTTTTAAATTAACGTTCAGAAGCTGGTAAAGAACAATCAAAATAGGGAAAAGCGAGAAGCTCTTATCAGTGGCTGTAATAATTTGGGGTTTTATACCTTTACAGCAGCCTTTCTGATACGCCAGTGAAAATGATTGGCTTTAGAGTATGTTAACATTTTCTTTTCTGTTTCCCTAGGATCTTAGTAAGAGTCCCAAGACCATGAAAAAGCTGCTGCCCAAGCGCAAACCTGAACGGAAGCCTTCCGATGAGGAGTTCGCGTCCCGGAAAAGTGAGTAGCTGCGGTCCGTGTGGAGGAGGATGTGGCCTCCTGGTCACGCAGGCCATGGCATTCATGGGATGGAGGGAGGCTTGGTGGCTTTCTGAAGACTCCACACAAAAGTAGGGTTTGCCCCTTGAGGCAGTGGTAGGAATAAGTGGTAGTAAACATAACGTTTACCCGAGCAAGCAGGAGAAGTGCCCTTGTGTCAGTGATGAAGTCTCCGTGCCAGTTCCAGCACCACTGCCTCCTAGCCCTTCCTCATCCAGGAGCTGGGGCCAGACCTGGAGGGCTCTCCTGCTTTTCTGGTTCTCCCTCATTGCCTGTAAGATATTCCACCCAAAGATATTCCACCCACACTTCCTGAAGTGCCATCATCTCCCAAAGTGCTCTCTCCATCTGTTAGAAGCATGACCTGCTGTGTTCTCATGTGGGTTGCACCTACCCGTGCTGTTCTCTTGCTGTTCTCTCCGCTGTTGGACCCGTCCTGTCTGCTCCTCAGGCCTAGGGGTCCGACTCAGCTCTGGGTTCCTACGTGGCCTCTCAGCAAGTACCTGGCACCTGTTAGGTGCTCGATAGATAGCTTTTGAATAAGTGGAGCTCTTGACAGAAGTAAGTGATTTTCCTGGGGGTGACTGCTGGGAAGGGGTACATGTGAACAGATTGCTGTGGACTGATGGGTGCAGCCCAGGGAGAGTGAGCCAGCTCTGGGGAAGTTGCAGCATCTGTCCTGCGGGGCTCTGCCCTGCCCCACCCCTGTGTCTGAGCTCAGCCTGTGTTGGTCCTGTGCCTTCACTGCTCACTTCCTCCAGCCTCAGGAGGAGGCCCAGCAGCCGTCCCACACACTCACTGTGCTGCACCACCGCTGGCCTCCCCTCACCCCCACCTTATCACTCAGCCCTGTGAGGTGACCGTGCTGGAGTGTTCATTATATTCTTGTCCTTGTCACCTGATGTCCATGGCAATATAAGTCACCATGCTGATTGTCTTCCTCCCCAGGTGGTCCAGGCCCCTGACCACCAGGGCCCCTGATGAGATGTTGAGGCCCTGGGGTCTAGCTATTGAAGCGGAGCTGGTGCTGGACGCCTGCTCTGTTGCTTACTGGCTGTGCTGGGGCTTCTCTGTGAGCGGACTGTTCTGTGGGCCACTTCCTTCAGCAGATCCAGGGGCAGCACTGAGCTGGGCGTGGGGCCGGCTGCAGCTGAGACCATCGTTCTTGGGCGCGTGCTTCATCAGCACCTTCATGGGCTGGCTGTGAAGGATGCAGTGTGACCGAAAGAGATCCCTGTTCTCATAGAGCCTGTTTTAGTCGAAGGATACAGACAGACAAAACAAGTGAACAATGTGTGGGCCGTGGAGTGCTGCAGAGACCCAGTAGGGAGGAAAGGTGGGAGATTCGGTGCCAGCGTGCCATTTGAGCAGCCTCCTGGGGCCGAGGAAGCAGGCCATGCAGGTGTCTGGGGAGGAGCTCTCCAGGCCTGGTCGCAAAGACCCTGGGCCGGAACCCCAGGCTGTGCGCAAGGGACAGTGCGCTTTGTGGGCCAGAGCTCCCCTGCAGAGCGGTAGGTAACACAGTGCCCTGAGCAGCAGGCAGGCAGAGTCCGGTTCCGTAGAGAAGATGATGAGGCCTGGGCTTTCACAGGACCGTGGGCTGCCATGTGGGGAACAGACAGGCACAATGCCCACATCGACACTGAGGGTTGTCGGCCTTCTGTTTTTGTCTCGCTGGCATGTGGAAACACGAAAATGTTTTAATTTTCATTTCTTGTTTCAGTGAGATTAGATATTTTTTCTTAGAACTCTTTTTGTTTTGTGACTTGCATATTCCTATCTTCTGCCCTTTTTCCAGTTTGAGAGTGGGGATACTAATTTTCTTACGGGTTGGTAGGATAATCATTTCCAAATGTGTTGCAAATATTTTTAAAAAACTGAAAACCTTTTTGAGTATAACTTTCGTAAATTTTGTGGAAAACAGTCATCTGACAAGAAAATGGCAGATTATCTTACTTGTCACTTTGGTCGAGTTGATGCCTGCATTCATCTTGCCAGTTGCACTAGAGGCCTTTCAGTTCGATGGTGAACTGTTGTGCATCTTTTGACAGGCACAGCTGCTTTGGAAGAAGACGCTCAGATTCTGAAAGTCATCGAAGCTTACTGCACCAGCGCCAAAACAAGGCAAACACTCAATTCAAGTAAGTTTAACAATAATGGCCTGGAAATTGTGATGGTTTATTCTGTTTAGTTTCAAATTACAGTCTGAAGGAACCTGTTGTGGTAGGCCCCTTGCACAGCCCATCCGCCTGACCTCCCAGGAGCGATGTTTCAGTCAGGGGTGGCAGGCAGGACAGCAGCTGAGCTTCAGGTCCCTAAATTCATGGAGTTGGGTCTGAGCTGTGGGCACAATTGCTGTGTGATTTTCTAGATAAAATTGTACTAGGAAATATTTAAATGTAAGCTATTGCCAGAATTCATAATGCTTTTGCTAAGAGAAGATGTGTTTAAAAGACAGTGGAAGATTAGTTCAGTTATTTCAGCTATTTAAGCTATTGGTGTGGTACTGGAATTTTTCATTTTTATTTTATTATTTTTTAGTTTCTTAGAAATATCCAAAATATAAACTTTGAGCAAGGTTTCTTTTAGCCTTTCTAAAAAATAATTGCTTTAAAAAATTTTTTGGAAATTTACAGCTAATTTATTCAGTAGATTTCAGAACCACAGGATTTACCTGTGTCTGATGTATGATGTCTTAAATGAAAAACTTTTTTCGTATTAAGGTGGCTTTTTTTTTTCTTTTTGGAGACGGAGTCTCACTCTGTCACCCAGGCTGGAGTGCAGTGGCGCGATCTCAGCTCACTACAACCTCTGCCTCCCTCGCTCTGTCACCCAGGCTGGAGTGCAGTAGTGCAATCTCAGCTCACTGCAGCCTCCGCCTCCCAGGTTCAAGCAGTTCTCCTATCTCAGCCTCCCAAGTTCCTGGATTACAGGTGCGCACCACCACGCCCAGCTAATGTTTTTGTGTTTTTAGTAGAGGTGGGGTTTCATCATTTTGGCCGCGCTGGTCTCGAACTCCTGACCTCGCCTCGGCCTCCCAGAGTGCTGGAATTACAGGCGTGAGACACAGGGCTTGGCCCTAAGGTGCCTTTTTTTAATTTACATTTTTCCTGTAGTGTTGCAAGTGAAGCGCAGCAGGGTGGTGGCTGAGGCAGCGTGCCTGTCATTTACCCTGCTGGCGTCCGCGTGCCCAGAACAACTGACGTGAGCACATGGTGCGGGGCCTCGGACCCCACAGGGTGGCGGCTGAGGCAGCGTGCCTGTCATTTACCCTGCTGGCGTCTGCATGCCCAGAACAGCTGACGTGAGCACATGGTGCAGGGCCTCAGGCCTTTCGAGAACTGGATGATTCTGTATTTTCTCAGCACAGAAACTGATTTCTCCTCCATTTTAGGACTTGATGCCCTTTCCAGCTTGACTGTCACTTATCTCACTTGTTTGTTTTGTTAGTCGCCAGCAGCGTGGTGGTTCCAGTTAGTGTCATGTATTGTTTAACGCTGAGAAAAGGAAAAAGAGGGAAGAGGACTTCTCAGCTGCTTTAGCTTTTATCAAAGACTGCTGCAGCTGTGAAGATAGGATGAGCAGGGTAAACCCTTTGTGGAATCTTGATTATCCAGAAGCTTCTTTTTTTAACCATTTTCAGTATTTTACTGGTATAGTACCATGTCCTGTCTATGACATTAAGACTTTTTGCCAAGGGTCAGCACTGTTGGTTTTTTTTTGTCCATACTTTAGTGAAAAATACCCATTCGTAGTGACTGCTTCTCAGAATAGGAGAGAAATAGAGAAACAGAAAGGCGTGGGTAACCTGTCAAAAGGTGGAATAAATATATGTATGATGACACAATAATGTCTGAGTACAAATTGTTGTGATGAAAGATACTACATTTTTATAATTTGATACTGATCATGTTTTAAGTAATAGGCTATAAAATGTGGCCATAAATTTTTGGATTTTGAATTTGAGATTTTTGTTGTCATCTCAATTTCAGTTACTTGAAATAAAATTTTAGCCCAGTAGTCTCAGATGAGCAGAGCAGGTTCAGTTGGCCGCCCGCCTGTGTCTGTGAGTTCTGCATTTTTGAATCCAACCGACTGCAGATCAAAAGTACCCAGAAAAAAGAAACAGTAAAAAGTAATGATATAACAGTAAAAAAAAAAAAAAAAAAAAAAATAAAAAATAATTATACTTATAACAGCTATTTATATGCTATTTACATTGTATTAGGTACTATAATTAATTTAGAAATGACTCAAAGTATAGAGCTCTTCCCCAAACAAAGTATACGGGAGGTTGTGTGTAGGTGAAGTGGAAACACCATGCCATCTTATATCAGGGACTGGAGGGTCTGAGGACTTTGGTGTCCGAGGGGAGTCCTGGAACCAGTCCCCTGTGGATGAGGGCTGACATAGTGCCCACCTCATTTCTTCATGACCAGGGTCCTGTGATATGCTGTGGCTTCACGGCCCCTGACTGCCTAAGGGGAGTGGCCCACGATTCCTTTTCTTTTCTTGTCACATTGCCTGTATTCTGTATTTCCATTTCTCCTGTGCAAGAAAAGCATTGAATGATACATTGATTTTTGTTTTTAATTCATATTATGGGCAAACCACTCTGGGCTTCAGGGAGCTGATAGTCATATATATCCTTAAACCGAACACTCAAAACCAGGGAGTAATGGGAGAAATTGCTCATTTGTGCTGGGAAGTTGGTATACTTAAGGTGCTTGGAAATGGGATCATAATGAAAGCAGCTCTTTTTACATTAAATGCTTAGTAAAACAGGTTTTAGAAGGATAATATATTTTACCTAAAATGCAGCTCTGTTCAATACACACATCTGGATGCCAAGAAGATTTTGTAAACCAAACTTCCTTGATACTGATTTCTAACTCCAGGAAGTAATGGCCCTCACAGCTGGTTATGACGTAGTTCTTGCAGTCTGGGAACAGAGGTCAGTTTGATAGAAGCAGGAGCAGGGAGGAGCCGGGGCTACTGGGGTTTGCCTTCACTCAGCAAGGGGCACCCCTGCCTTTGCATGGAGGGAGACCCTGGCAGCCCGGCCTGCCTCTCAGCCCAGGTGCCTGGCCGTGGGCAGTGCTCATAGTTGCCGGCCACTCATGATTATTTCTCTCCTGCCATGTTGTGCCACTTCCTCTGTCATTTTCCTTTTAACACTGGGGTATTGCCAGTTCATGTCTCTCTTCCTGACAGCAGAGGGTCTGCAGTGGGGTGGCCGGCATTGCCAGCAGACCCAGCTTCCCACTGCACCCTGCCTGCGGGCTAAGCTCTGGCGTACCCTGGGAGCAGGGGGTGGGTTCTGGGGCTGTGGGCCGTGGCCAGTCCTTTTCTGCCCTCTGAGTTCTCAGAGTGATTGTTGATTGATCAGGTAAGTCCAGACCCACTCTCAGATTTATGGTCTTGGCAAAGCGACAACTGAAGAAGCCCGTCAGAAATCCTTTGAAATTATTTTGCATTTGATACATCTGTTTATTGATAGGAAACAATTTTTAATTAGCCATATAAATGGTACCTTTCCCAAATGATATCCTAAATGAGACTATTTGTTAATTGAATGTGGAATAGAATTGGTTAATTGCCTCATGTCTGTAGAGTCATCTTTTGGACATGGGTGTAATTTGTAAAAGATTTCTTAAATGAGGGCTTTAGAGCAATATCTTTTTTTAAAAGAGCGGTTTGGAAACATTGTATATTAATGGCTTAATGAGATAATAATCGATCTAGTTGTATTCTAAGGGTTTTGCTAAGTTTGTTATTGAAACCCAGCCATATGTAAGGAGAAATATGCATTGTTGCCAATTTTTAACAATATTTTCTCTTTTCCTTCTCTTCCCATCACCTTTTGCTTTTGTTCCATGTTTTGGTTGTGGCTCTTCCTGTCGTTCTCCTCCTCACCCCCTGCCTGTCGCGCCTGTCCCTCCGCCCGCCCGTCTTAGCATGGCAAGGCACTGACCTGATGCATAATCACGTCTTGGCTGATGATGACCAACCAAGCCTAGACTCCTTGGGTCGTCGCAGTAGCCTTTCTCGTTTGGAGCCTTCAGACCTCTCGGAAGACTCTGACTATGACAGTATATGGACAGCCCATAGTTACAGAATGGGTTCTACATCTCGTAAGAGCTGTTGCTCATATATCTCTCACCAGAACTAATGCACTTCTGAGCTTTTCTTAACAAATGCTTGTTGTATCGCAGCCTGCTTTTCTTAGATGTTTTCTTGCTGTTCCTTGTCTCTTTTATGTGATATTTTAACAACTTTTGAGAGTGTTCCTGATATTTCCCATTGTACTTTGTGGAGGCTTAACTGCCGATGCGAGTATACATTCGAATGACTATTGGAGGGAGGTGGTGTGTTCCCATGAGCCTACACCCGAGGGTGCTCTTCGTAAGGGGTAGTTGTTGTTTTATAGCTCCAAATGTTTTTTTTATTCTCAGTGTAGCAACTGTTTGATTGATTTCTGGATACAGCTGTATGAACACTTTTCTATTTTATACTGAAATCACACAGGTTTGCGATCTAAGTGCCAGAACCATGGAGGAGACTCTGGCCTTATCTGTAAGGACCTAAATTTTTTAAGTACTGTGAACACTGATGAAGTAGTTGTGGAGAGATGAGAAGAATACATGCAGCAAAGGTGCTGTGAGCCCAGTTCCAACAGCTGTGTTCTGGTAATTGTGCCGAACAGCATGTGGGCTCTGGGCCTTGGCAGGTGCACAGACGGGCGGGCGTCACATGTGTTCAGAGCTTGTCTCCACCTCACGGCTCTGTGCTCTTCCGTGTGCTGCGTTGTGGCCATGAAGTGGGAGCTCTCCTTTCCAAAGGCAGAGCTTACTGTCATGGCTCAGATGTTCACTCTCATCTTCACCCCAAACTTCCCTGAATTGCAATGATTTCTGTTATATGGCACTTAGCAAGCCTACACCACTCTATAGTAAAAACTCTACACGAAAAGTTTAAAGCCCAAAGTCTGAAGCATTCGGCCTCTGCAAGTGTAGACTACTAGACTGTATCTGGAGAGGCATTTGGAATACTTAAGAAGTCAAGTGCTGTGGCTTCAGTCCCCCCAGCTCCCCACCCCGACATCCATATTTAACGTTGTCTGGAAGAGCCATGGACACATCATTGTTTTCAGCAACCAGCTGCAGTGAAACTCCGTTTACAGCAACCCCATAGTGTAAAACTGCAATGCCTCATTGTAATGGGATATCGAAGTTCATTGAAGAATTACTAGGTTGCCATGTAGCTCACTTATTTAAAAAAAAAAATCTCCCCCATTTTCCTGGGATTTGTTGTAAGGAGTTTTCACTGGCCTCACTCAGACCAATTTCCGCTTCAAAAAGAACTGAATGTGACCTGTTGCATTCAGTTGTGGCATCAAATCCACATCTAGTCATTGCTTGAGGGGCCAAACTGTGTTCTCTCCCATGCACGCTCTATTTGGTGTTAAAATGGAACCTTACGGTTGTGTTTTAAGTATTCATTGAAACCAGCTTCAGAAAACAAGATGCCATAATAAATTGAGAATAACATTTTTTCCTTCTTCAGGGTGGCTGTAATTCCAGGTGGCCGTGATTTCTTTCCTCCCCCTCCACCCACTCCTTCGCCAAACCCACGTATTCAGTGTTCTGATCTTGTTTGTGCAGAGTGAACTCTCTGATGCAGCATCAGTCTTGTCCTGGGAGCCGGGTCCTGCTGCTCAAGCCCAGAGCTGCCAGGGAGCTCCTGGCAGTAGCACGTTGTTTAGAAAGTTGGGTGGCTTCATTCAGCATGGAACGAGCTAATGGCACAGGAGTCATCAGGGCAGCTGTTAATTCCAAATATTTGTCTGTTCCCAAGTAGCTACTGAAGTGCTCATGCCATCGGAAGAGTTTGTATTTTCATACCAATTAGTAAAAATAAGAATGTTGAGGAGCAGTCTTCTAAAATTAGTCAAAGCCCAGTGTTAATCTCATCAGCAGAGATGGGGTTTATGTATGTTCAGCCAAATAGTAAGTGGAATTTTTGGAGAAATAAGATAAGTACAAAGTTTCTATACTTACTGTAAGTGGATTTAGAGTGATTTTGGTTTTGTATTACATATGGCAGTCCTCTGAGTCTGGGAGCACCTTTTTGTTTGCCTCAAGACTACTCATTAGTGCATTGGCTTAGCTGCCTTTGCCTTCTCGTAGGCATGGATTGCCTGTGTCATGGGCTGTGTAGACCACAACACTCAAACACAGTTGCTGCACTCGGAGGACTTTCCTTTAATATCAAGTATCATTTGGTTATCTTACTGGGACATTTTTATTGATATTCTCTACACTAAAGTTTTCACATTTACCATCATTCCATTTTGTACCAGTTAAAGGCATTTTGATGATGCTTTTTCTTGATGCTAAGATCACTGCAGAAGAATAACCTGACCTTTTCTTTGCATTTGTTTTGAATGTCTAACACCATTAGCTTTTGTGGCCTGGTTAAGAAGTGTTAGTGCCACAAGCCCGAAAAGACAGTTCTCATGTGGCAGTGGTGATATGGCATCCAGAGGGCTTCAGTCATGCTGATAATAGTATCTTCTGTTTATACAATTCTGTAATATTTATGTGTACAGTTAGTATTCTAATGAAAGAATGAAGAGTCTGAACTAGAAGGTAGGTTTAAGCCATCACCAGGCCTTTGCAAATGGCCTAAATGGTGTTCCCTTTGAAGTAACACTTGCCACAAGTATATAATCTATATTAATTGTGTTTTGCATAAAATTGCCAAAACACAGTAATGTGTATATAGTGGTATAAGATCTTGAAAATAATCTCTATAATTGTGCTCTTTATCTGTGAATGGGAAAAGCCATTTTTAGTAGGTGACTACCATTTGAAAAACTAAATTGGATGTATATCTGAATGTTGCATTGTATTGTACAGTATGCATATTATTGTTTGTGGTTGCATATGGCAATGAAGTGTTTGTTTTATAAAAAAAAAAAAAAACCTGTTATGTACAGTTGAAATAAATTTTGCATTTGCTAGCCCGTGGCTTTTAATATTTGTTACATGGGGGAGGGGAATAGCATAGTTTGCAGTTTAATATGATTTGGCTCTTCTACCTGAACGGAACATCTTCCAAAGGCAGGCAGGTGATAGATAGAACCCTTCTGTCTGCCCTGATAGAAAAGCTTGCACTCTCTTAAGTTAGCTGTGTTCTGGAGAAGACAAAGTCACACCTTGTACATTTCTTATTTCATCTCTTTCCCGTTTCTTAAGCTTTCAGTCACTGGCCGGTTTGTCTTCAGAAAGAAGCATTATTTTTTGTTTGTGTGCAAATGGGAAAAAGCACAACTTTAAAATTGTTTTATTTAGACTAAGGCCAGTTTTTAATTTTTGTTTTATAAAGTGCTTGTCCAGCTAAGAAGAGAGTAATGAAGCAAAATAAAGGGAAAGGAAACGAAGTACCTGGTGGCAGGTATAGTGTTAGGACAAGGTGCAGACAGTAAGTGCAGAAAACTCTGTCAGCACAAGATGGGAGTTTTCCTAAGAAAAGGAAATTAGACCCTTAGAGCTATAAATAACAAAATGGCCTGGATGACTTTTGGAGAGATCTTACTAAGTTGTTTTTCTTTAAGTGTAGTCGTAGTGTGCTCCACGGTGGATGTTACTTGATTTTCAGTTGATTAGAGATGCAGATTTTAGAAAAGGTAATGAATTTAAGAAGAGGAATTATCCTGCCCATGTCCTAGATCACTGGCAGATGTTCTTTACCCTGTTTCTAGGCGTTTGGTACAGGCAGGCCTGCACACGCATGCATGCGCACCACGCCGGTGTCTGGACTGGACAGTTGCGCTGCATTACTCCTGAAGCAGTTAGTTGTGTGTCGTCAGATAAGTCCCCAGAATGGTGTCTAACAGCCAAGCATGGCAGTCGCGAGCCGGCACTCGGGGCCCCAGGGGTTGATTGATCACCACTGTGTTGCTGCTGTGGCAAGTCGTCTCGTCTATGAAATGGAAATACTGGATTAGATCTGTGTTTCTTAAACGAAGCTCCATAGTTGTCTACAGATGGGTGACTGTTTGGGGTGGGGGAGGGTCAGTGTTCTCAGACATCCCTAAAATGTTAAGTTTTGTGCTCATGTTGACACACGTGGACCAGGCTTCCCTGGATCACACCTCTGAGTGAGTGTTGCTGTGGGGTCCCAGTGCCCTCTGGGGTCTCCAGTCATGTGGTACACAGCAGCCCCTGAGAGTGGAATGGTTGCTGCAGAACTTTTCAGCCCGGGGCGGGCAGACACCAAGCATCTACAGGCACATTCCTGGGTCCTCGAGTTTGAGAAGTGCCGGATTGGTGTTAAGTATAAATTATTTCATTATATTCATGTTTGTCTTATTCCTACCTCCATATGGAAATAACCAACCAGCTGTTCTGTGTATGTGGTTATAGAAACAGACAGATTATAAGCTGATCTAGCACTTCTCAAAATGTTAGCCACAAAACCACAAGATGTTAATAATGATGTTTAAAAGAAAAAAAGTTCACTCAAATGCATTTCAGAAATGCTGAATTAAAGTTAAGCGCGTGTTTTTATGGCAGACTTCATCAAAGCCTGTATTGTGCTAAGGGTGCACTGTGAATCTCCAAGAAGTATAGCCCACAACGTTTCCCGAAATGATGTGTTGTGGAACCCCTCTCATTTCCCAGAAACAAAAAAGTTTGGGAAACACAGATCTTGACTGTGCTAGAACCATCATGAATGTGTTCATCTATGTCTGAGCCTCTGTTACAGATTTTAAATAAAGTGAGAGAACATTATCTGATAATTCTGCTGTTAAATTGTTTTTCCAACCTAGGTAACTCAGGGAAAAAATGTGCTACGATGCTGCTAAAAACACTTTAATAATTTCTGAGATAACTTGTTATATCTGCTTTCTAAAACATCGTTCTTTAAAGAAATAGTCAACTTACGTAAACCTGGCCAGAGAACATTCCTTTGTTGTTTTTTGAAAGGCAGTAAAATTTTTTCAATCATTTTAGAAAAACTGTATATTGAAAACTAGGCAGATTGTTAGAATTGCATGATTTCTAGGCATATTAATAATACTCATTTACAAGCTTCCTAGTTCGCCGTCAGATCCATAAATGGCATTTTTCACATTAGTGCATTTCAGGAATCAAGCAGTACATCCTGTCTGTGATACGTTTTCCAGCTTACATTTGTATATCACTAAATCCTTCTCACATGCTTTAAGTGTAGCTGTAGAAATAAGACCTGTGCCATGCATATACAGTAATTGTACCAGTTCTTACAGGCTTAGTTCCTCAAATTATGCTACATAATGGAAAGACTTTTACCTTTATGGGTTCATCTGTTAAAAGATGTTTATAAAATATAATACTTAAATCCTCAGAACAGCTCTAGAGAAGCAGATTTGTTGTGCTTTGTAAGTAATGAAATTGAGACTCAGTGCTTGTGATATGCCCAGGTTAACTTAAAGACTCACCACTAGGGGCGTCCCAGCTCTGGCTGGAGGCAGTGGACACGTGGCTCATGGCTTCACACCTCCTGTAAGGAAGTCGACCCTGTGTCTGACCCATTTCTTTACAAAGTTGACATTGTTTGTGATCCTATTTTATGTCATTCGAAAATGTTAATGCTGGAAAGAGATGATGTCAACAGGTTGTCTAGGAAGCTAGAAGAGACAAAAATAATTGAAATCCAGAATTTAATCTGCTTGATCCGCAGTTACATAACTTTTTCCTGTGTGTCTCATTAGCAAATCCATTTGAAGAAATGTGTTGCAAACAATGTGAGATACACAAGTAATACTTTTGTGAATCTGACTCTGAAACAGTCATCAACTGGGCTCAAAGCAGGACAGCTGGATAATTGGCGGGAAAATTAGTTGTCTGAAATGTGGGATCTTATCAGTGGACTTCTCTTTGCAGGGAAGAGTAAGTGGAGCCATTTGATTTCTTCACATGTGGTATAAATATCGGAATCTTTATGAGTATTCTGGATTTTCTTTCATTATTTTCTCTCTCTTATTTTCTGTGAAATTCTTTTTCTATGTCTTTTGGGCAAATAGCACATGAATTAATGTTTTCTGGTAGGAACCAAGGGTACCCTTTGCGTTTGTATGAGAAACACTGGCAGCTTCTCCCCGTGGCTAGCACCGCACGCTCTGCTGTAATGTCCCTCACACATCAGTTTCCTTCCTAAGCAGTATCTTCCCGTGTGGTCCACATGTCTCAGCAGCATCACCCGTTAGCCAGGAAGGGCCCACCACCCTCAGGGTCCTCTCCTGTGGCCTCTTGGAGCACAGGCACCTGGAGTGGCAGGAGTCCTCGCAGCCCAAAGGGCTGTCTCCGCCCTTGTCTCCTGGACCTGTGGAGATTCCTAGGGCTGATACTACCAGCCTAGTGTTTTTAAAAACGTCTTCTGAAATCGTATCTTGCAGTCCTGTCTGAATCTTCTGTCTGAAAAGTTATTCCCGAGACATAGGTCACTGTGTGTGCGGGTGGGTGGACTGTGACCCAGGGGACGCATGTGAAGAGCTGGGCCCCCGCTGCTTCCCTCCCTGACAGTGTCAGGTCTGCTGCTGCCAGCTGGTAGCACAGTGGAGGCACAACAGCATGAGGGGGAGGAATGGTCGCCCACCTTAACACAGACACAGGCGTGCCAGCCATGGCTTGTGACTGCATTTTAAGTGCTGCATTTGATCCTAAGATCCTGCAGTTATCCTCATTTCCCAGTATCAGTGTGGCGAGTGTCTCCTGAAGCTTGTGCCAGGTGACCGAGTGGCACTTGGTTGCCTTCCCAGGACTTAATCTTATGCCTGAGAGGAAGAAGGAGCAGTGTCTTGATTTTGTTCAGTCCCTGAATTTCCAGTTTCCCAGGGGTGCCATTCTGAGGGGTGGAGCAGGTTTTGCACACTCACGAGGGGCAGCACCTGGCCAGTGGCCTCCAGTCCTGGTTCCTGTTGCATGCTGCTGTGGAGATAGCAGCGGTGCCCTCGCGTGTCAGGAACGTCTTAGGAGCCATCTTAAGCTTTGGCATCATCCTTAAGCCTAAGCGTGCGGTAAAATGCAGGTGAAGCCATTATTTAAAATCCCGTCTTCATGAAACATTCGTATTGTATCGAGCTTTCCTGTGACAGGCTGCGTAGCACTGACACACTTCTAGGAACACGCAAAAGGTGAGCCAGAAGAAAGGCCCAGGAAGCGCAAGCACCATGTCCATAGTTAGCATGTCTCAAACACGCGTGTCCCTTCTTCACAGAGAAATGTTTATCACAGTACCGCTTACAGGCGTTTGTGTTCTGTGATAGAGTATAGCCTTCTGATTTGCATCTGGTCTAATTTTCAAAAATATAAATGGTACACGTTATACTGTATGACCCTCAAGAAAATATTTTCTTGAAGAAAAGATTTTCTCCCTGCATCATTAAATACAATTTGATTCTCTTCCTCACCTTTTAAAATGAGTATTTTGATTTCCTAATTTCTAAAGTACGTATTATGCAACATTTATTGAGGGCCTGTCCTATGTGAACTCTTGTGCAGGTGTTGGTTAAATGACGCAAATGTTCTTCTGACATTGTGAGCAGTTTGCTTTCATTTAGAACAATGTTTATTTTCTATTTTAGGAAATACAAAGTTTTCATAAAGGACCACATGTTATTTTTTCTAAACCATGTGCTATGATGCTGTAATATCTTGATTATTAAATGTTGCTGTAGAGTAAAATGTTTGTATTGCCAGATCTTGGATTTATAAACACTCACTGTGTATGTTCTGATTGGTCTCATATGTCTTTGCTGAAACTCTCGGAACAGTGGCTCAAAATGGGATGAATAGCCAGAGCAGTACGGTCACAACCTGGAACTTCCTCCCTGTTGAAAATGCTAAGATTTAAAGAATCCATAATTCAGATTTTAAAAAGGCTACAGTTTCCTTTCCTCTGTACGGCTTTGGTCACGAAGAGGCCTGGGCTCAGTAGACAGGGGTGAAGAAACCTGATAAAACATGCTCTCCTTTAGCCTGGATGAATATTTTTAAATGCATAGTTGATAGAACTTAATATTTAAGTGATGTTGTAGAGTCATTTTTCTTCATTCTGCTGTGGTGTTCGCCCGAGGTTGATTGATTATTTTTTCATGATCCTAGGTTCACGCAAAGAATCTGCTCCACAAGTTTTGCTTCCAGAAGAAGAGAAAATTATAGTGGAAGAAACTAAAAGTAATGGTCAGACAGTGATAGAAGAAAAGTAAGATGTCTTCCAGTATTCTAAAGCAGGCATTTGAGCTCTGCAGTGGGGTAGTAGAGTTCAGACAGCTCCCTGAGGGCGGGGGTGTGGCTTCGGAAGCTTCACTTTTTTTTTTTTTTTTTTTTTTTTGAGACGAAGTGTCACTCTTGTCACCCAGGCTGGAGTGCAATGGTGCGATCTCAGCTCACTGCAACCTCTGCCTCCCAGGTTCAAGCGATTCTCCTGCCTCAGCCTCCCAAGTAGCTGGGATTACAGGCCTGCGCCACCATGCCTAATTTTTGTATTTTTAGTCGAGACGAGGTTTCACCCTGTTGGCCAGGCTGGTCTCCAACTCCTGACCTCAGGTGATCTGCCCACCTCGGCCTCCCAAAGTGCTGGGATTACAGGTGTGAGCCACCGTGCCCAGCCAGAAGCTTCACTTTTAAAATGTCTTCATAGACTGAAGCTGCCCTTGACTGGGCTTGAACCTGCCGTGCACAGAGGTTGACAGTTTTTAGTTGTGAATGTAGACAGTACACGGGTAAGGCAGAGCAGCCCCGTGTCCTCCACTCAGGATTGTAGTGTCTCCTGGTAAGTTTCCGTGTGTCCTCTCCATGCCTCACCCTGTTCATGTGTGTGTTCTGTTTCCTGTTTCAGGAGTCTTGTGGATACCGTATATGCATTAAAGGATGAAGTTCAAGAATTAAGACAGGTATGTCATAATCCATCTTTCCATCTTTTTTTTTTTTTTTCAAATGGGAGAAAAGAAAATGATATTAAAAATAAGCTGGCCGGGTGCGGTGGCTCACACCTGTAATCCCAGCACTTTAGGAGGCCATGGTGGGCAGATCACCTGAGGTCAGGAGTTCAAGACCAACCTCACCAACGTGGCAAAAGCCCGTCTCTACTGAAAATACGAAAATTAGCTGGGCATGGCAGCAGGTGCCTGTAACCCCAGCTACTTAGGAGGCTAAGGCAGGAGAATCGCTTGAACCCAGGAGGCGGAGGTTGCAGTGAGCTGAGATAGTGCCACTGCACTCCAGCCTGAGCGACAGAGTGAGACTCCGTCTCATATAAAAATAAAAAGCTGATTGTGCATAAGCAAAAACTAAAAGGAGGTCGTGTCTTTGAAAAGTCCAGCAGGTAAAACAGTTGGTTGTCTATAAAGTGACTTATTTAAACTCTTTTTTTTTTTTGAACAATACTGATTTTGATGTCATAAACCATCGCAAATTCTGTTGGAAGAATAATTTAAAATATCGAAAGTTCTGTCTGGTGACAAATCCTGCAAGGGGCCCTGAGATTAGCCTCTGCCACTGCGTAGTCCTTGGCTCCCGAAGCCAGTTTAGCGAGCCAGACGTGGCGACTAACCAAGGGTGTTCTGGGCAGTGCACAGAATGTGAGTATGAGTGGCTTTGGTGCCCTGCCCAGCTAGGCGAGGGAAGGCTGGGGTGTCCATTGCACGGAATGTGAGTAGGAGTGGCTTTGGTGCCCTGCCCAGCTAGGCGAGGGAAGGTTGGGGTGTTCTTTTGGCCGAGGAGCGGCCTGAGAAGAGTTGTGGTCTGGGATAGAGAGCCGAGAGCAGGTTGCCGTGTGGAACTGGACGCGTGCTCTGCATTCTAAGCAGTGTCCGCAGGGCTTCCAGGTACTGCTTTGCTTGGCTGGCGGGCTTCCGTGTTCACGCTTTGCCCCAAGTGGCAGCAGGCGTCCATTTGTGCCTGCCTCCTACGTCCGAGACATGCCTGGGTTCAGTTGCACAGAGCAGGTGCTCGCCCACTTGCTCCCGCACCCGTCAGTGGCTGTTACTTCCAGTCCTTTCTGTAACTCTGGAAGGTGGTTATGAATGGACGAAAAGGCTGGAGAGGAGCTGTCCCGTCTGCAGTTTCCAGCCATTTTCTTACGGTATGTTCTATAGAGATTCATTCATGGCCTTAATAAGAGCCATTAGGACCGTTTCCATCCCGGGACCGGCAGCGTAGTCAGAAGCGCTGCTGCCACCCTGTCCAGGTGGTTGAACTTTGCGGACCCCCATGACCTCACAGCCCATAGGCAGCTCACGTGGGATTTCATGAGTCGAGGCCTTAGCTCCTCAAGGATACCATTTGGGGAAAGGAAGCCCTACGCAATGCCAAAGATAGTGAACGTACTGTGGTGTGCTTAATTTACAGGATAACAAAAAGATGAAGAAATCTCTAGAGGAAGAACAGAGAGCCCGCAAAGACCTAGAGAAGCTGGTGAGGAAAGTCCTGAAGAACATGAACGATCCTGCCTGGGACGAGACCAATCTATAAGGGACGTCCTTAGTGTTTTCTGTCGATGACCAGTTCTGAGGTGAAGCTGGGCACCCCTGACCCACGTCGGGGTGCACTCAGGACCACAGGGCAGGGCTGGGTGGGGCACCACCTCGCTCTCTGTACATAGAAAAGCTGGAGCTTATTCTGCGAATGGAGACGATCAAACCATGACTGATGAATCCAGACAGGAGGGATTGACTCTGAGGACCTGAGCTGCATCAGTCCCACTCTGTGAACATCTCAGTTACCTCATTCTGCAATAAGTTCAGTGACTGACTAAAAGTCTTGTTTTTCCAGACTTTGAATTGAATATATAAATATTATATATACATGTTTCTTGTAAATATCCCATTTTGAATGCATACCCGTGGTGGTTCTGTCCGGGCTAATCCCCATGCTAGAATGTCCTTTCCAGCTTCGTGAGTAAGAAGTCCCATATGCCCGCACCCACCGGAAGCAGAAGCCCGGTGGATGCCTGGTTCGTTCCGCAGCCCCAGGGCCCCCACCGTGCTGTGACAGCACCCCCCATGTCGGTATTTCTGAATAACCTTATTTATACCTGCAGAGATACACGTCAGTCCCATTCGGAAGTCTTCTCTTAAAGCAGCGTTCCGGTCCCAGACCTGCGGGGTTCCGAGGGCAGCTTGCTGGTTGACGGACTCAGTCTTGACCTCAAGGAAGGCCCATATGGCACCGCTGCATCCACCGGGAGGTGTTCGCTCGTGTCCGCTGTCTGAGTACTGTGATTCTCAGATGGATTCGCTGTGTTTTGGGAGATTACACAGACGTTTCTGTGCAGGCTAGTTCAGTAACAACAAAATACACTGTTTTGTCTTCCCTTAAAGAGAGCTCTTACTAGAACCTGTAAATAGAATGTATTATTTATTGTAGGTCACTGCAGCTGACGAGAACAGATGGAGGCCGTGCTCCAGACTGATACTGATGGGTGGAGCTTTGCGGTCAGGCCAGCCTCATCCTGAGGTCTGCTCCACCACTGGCTGCAGCCAGCAGGCTTCAGTGCTCACCGAAAGTAAAATCCCCTCCTTCAGCAAGCATAAAGCAATATACACCCTAGGTTCCACTAAGCAACGTAGGCGTAAGCAGGGGGCGTTTCCCCCACTGTGTTCCAGTGCAGAGGAGACGGACGAAGCCTGTCCTCGCCGCGGCTTGCTGGGCCCAGGCTGGCTCTGGAAAGCCTGTGCGGTCCTGGGCGGGAACCCCACCCCGTGGGGCAGGTTTCCGTTCTGCTTCAGCAATAAATAAGGGTGACCACAGGGACTTTGCTTTTGGTTTCCCTTCCCGCGAAGAGGTTGGTTTTAAAGTGAGATACACTTTTCCGTAGAACAAGTGTTCTATCTTTAAACACCAAAATTGCAACGCCACGGATTACTGGTCTCAGAACAGCTCATTTTGCATCAGATTTGACTTTCTGCTTTTCCGTCTGTTGGCCAAATTGCCCTTTAACTGCACCTGAATCCTTTGTATACTGATGCCTTTGAGCTGGGCACCCTGGGAGAGTGTTCTGTTACTGTTTACGGTTCTTCCTTGCCCTTGCTAATGACAGTCTCTGGTGCCCAGCAAGCGCCCTTCCTGCTTCCTTCCCTGACTCCGGTCACGGGGTCTGCCTGGGCTCAGCACGGACCTGACCCATGCTCGCAGAACCTGGCCTCACCTGGACTTCTCACTAGACTTGCCAGCTTCCTCAACTTAGCAGATTACTCACTCATGCAGGCACAAGCAAAGATCAACACTTTCTCTTTTGGTAAGCTTGAGTTGTACAAGTTGTTTTTTGGTGATGCGTAAGACATTGCAGTGGGAAACCATTCAGCTTGAGCGTATTGGAGTTTGCTGTTGTAGCAGGTTTTAACTCAGGAACAACTCTCCTCTGATCTCTCCGCCCTCTGCCGGGAGGCGACGTTCGCCGTCCTCTCGGAGCCGGTAGCGTCGCTGTCCGAGTCCCCAGGACGGATCTCCTGCAGACCTGCCTTAATGCTCAGATCGAAGTCTTTCACAAGAATACTTGTGTTTTTAACAGCCCTTCCCCTAGACGGTGCGGCCGCGAGGGCCTCATGTGACTGCATTGCCTTTTCTTTCTGTGGATCCAGTATCTTCCTCGGCTTTTTAGGGAGCAGGAAAAACGTGTCTGAGAGCAAGTCTTTAAAAACCCGCCCTGTTGTATATAACTGTATCTGTTTCACCGTGTGACCTCCCAAGGGGGTGGGAACTTGAAATAAACATTTAAAGGGGCCACGATCTGCCCGAGGGTTACTCCTTTGCTCTCACCTTGTATGGATGAGGAGATGAAGCCATTCTTATCCTGTAGATGTGAAGCACTTTCAGTTTTCAGCGATGTTGGAATGTAGCATCCGAAGCTCGTTCCTTCACACTCAGTAGCGTCTGTGCTTGTCCACATGCGCTGGGCGCCTGGGACCTTGAATGCCTGCCCTGGTTGTGTGGACTCCTTAATGCCAATCATTTTTTCACTTCTCTGGGGCCCCAGGGCGCCCGTTGACAAGTGTGGAAAAACTCCTAATTTAAATGTCACAGACAATGTCCTAGTGTTGACTACTACAATGTTGATGCTACACTGCTGTAATTATTAAACTGATTATTTTTCTTATGTCACAGAATGTGTCGCTTCATCTTCTTTGATGTGTTTTCTGTGTGCTTGTTAGCTTTACAGTTTCTTTGGGCTGATTTAGATTTGAAAATTCTGTCTTCGATACTGGAAGGTAACATGTTTCCTTTAAAGTCTAGAGTTTGAGAAAATTTGAAGATTTTTTTTAAAAGACAAGGAAAGAACACTGGAAGTCTTAGGAACAAAAACTAAAGTAACGGGTCACACTGGTAGGCACAGCCCCCAGGTCCTCGCCCATGCCTGGAAGAATGGCCTGCATTCTGGAGGGCGCTCAGGACAGCGTTTTGTGAAGCGAAACTTCCTTGAAGGTATCTGTGGGGTCCCTTTTAGGAGCTGTCATAAGACAAAAGGAAATCGCTCGTGTGTGTCCTCGAGTGGCGGTGGTGCAAACGAGGGTGTCTTCCGGAAGGGTGGCTGGGAGGACCGAGTGGGGTCCCCTGTCCGTGGTCCGTATACCTGGCTCAGGTGTGTCCACAGCTCCACTGCATGCCATTTCAGCCAGCCAGAGGTCAGGCAGCCACACGCAGTGCCCAGCCAACTGGCTTACTGTAGGAGCTCAAAGGAAGTCAGGATCTACACTTTGAAGGACCTTAATCATTTCAGGCTAAAACAAGTAGGCATTCAAAAATCCATTTCTGTTGGTTTGCATTGTGACAAGAACGTGTGATGTGTAAGACACCTAATGTGAAGTGTTCATCTTATTGGTGGAGTAGGTAGGCGTTTGTACTTGGTACCTCACCAGTAATTAAAAACTAGCGTGCACCTGAGCCATGTATACTGTTTTTTAACTGTACACTTTAAAAATTTAAAGGTATACTGGGCCATGTATACTTTATTTTCTTGCATAACTGTTTAATTTTTCCCATAAGCAGGTATTTTCCTAATTAAAAGCTAGCATGTGCCAGAGTTTTTAATTGTGAAAACAATACCTGTTTATAGGGAAAATAGAAACAGTATGCCAGGATATAAAGTAAAAAGCTTGTATTCCACCTCCCAGTGCCCTGACCCTGTTCCCCAGAAGTAGCTCCTGTTCTGTGTCCAGGTTCTTCTGTTCATTCTTCTGACCAAATGCCAGTGTGCGGTGTCTGTGTTTAACGTTTTTCCCAGCAAGTGAGGTTGCACTAAGTATATTCTTTCCTAACTTGCCTCTTTGAGCCTTGTCTTAGGTATCTTTCCATACGGGTGTATGTGGTTCGAACCATTCATGGTTTTTGACCACTGCATAAATTTTCCCCTGATTGAATGCACTGCAGTTTGTTACCTATGAGTGGATATTTGGGAGGGAGCCGTCACTATTGCAGAAACGCTCTACTGAATATCCTTCTGTATACAGCTGTGCAACTGCACATGCAGCTAAATGATTAACTTCTGGGAACGTCTGTGCGTTTTTAGCTTTGATAGAATTTGCCGTATTTTTACAAGGTGTTTTGGAAATGATGACCTTGGCAGTCATACGGTTCTAGTTTCTCAGAAGGAATGGGGCCATGATGGCAGGGGAAGCATGCTCTTCGTTGCGATGCCTTCTCATGGAAGCCGCTGACTCCAAAACATGCTCTTCATGGTCGACCCCTTCCCAGGGAAGCCGCTGCCCTCCCATGAGCATGGCTTTGGAAGTGGGGAAGATTGGGGTGGTGGTTCTTTCCTGTGCCAGGCTCCTTGCTCGTCTTTCTAAGGCATATCAAACTCGCCCTTGTCTAGGTCATGACCTCCTGCCTAGCCTGGCCCCTTCCACTCCACACTGCTCTAAAACATGCGGCGAGTGGGCGGGGCCTTCCTGCCAACTCCTGGGTGCTTTTAGAAAATGTCAGTTCCTGTGCCCCCCACCCTAAGGAGCTGATTCCTCAGGGTGGAATCAGGAATCTGCATTTTTAACACACCCCCGTGCTGTTAGTGCCTGTAGTAACGGTGTACTGGTGCCCGTGGAGGTGGGCTGCTCTGGTTAGGTCTTTTGCATGATGGTTACTTAGTGTCTGGGCAGCCACAGGAGAAGGGCGTGTGACCGGCCCGTGTGCAGGAGTAAGCCCGGCACCCCCAGCACTGCCACATGCGAGTTAGTTAGGAGGCCACACCTTCTTTGCCATATCTCTAAGAGCAGTTGCTGCCTGTTGTCATTGGAGAGGGTCATCTAAAACGTGTTCAGGTTTTACAGGTGTTAAAGTGCTTTGAGAATCGGGGGAGTTGAGATGAACCGTGACTTTGGGGGTCAGTCCTGTCTCCACTCCCCACAGTGGCTACATAAGGTCTCGCAGGTACGACCCCGCTTCCTCCTCCCTGGCCTTCAGAGGATGTTGGACTGCTTACAAAAAGGTGCAACCCACTACGAGGGAATTGCCTCCACCTCTCACCACACTTAAAAACCTGCCTGCATGTGCCCCGCTGCTCTGTCTCGTTTCAGTGGAAGAATTCGCCCAAGCCCCCAACCCCATGGCTTCCTTGCTGGCCTGGGAGCCTGCGTCTCCTCTCCTGCCTTCCTGAAAGCCAGACCCTTCTCTTGGCCGCTATGTCTGTTGTGTTTGTTTCTTATGGAAAATGTCATGCTTATATAGAAGTAGGGTAATGAGTGATGATTGCTCTCCGAGATTTGTGAACATTCCAGGCCCTGTGACTCCTGGTCTGTTGTAGAATGAAGGAAAATAGCTGGGCCCACCCAGGGGAAAATGCTGTGCTCATATGATGAATGCATTTAGTTACAGTTCAGTATCCATTTGTGGAGATGAAACCAATTGCAGACCAGGAATAAGAGGGAATTTCTTTAGTCTGATTGAGAACAGTTACCAAAAAACCTATCAATATACATATAAGAAGGCTAGTAACTCTCACCGGCTATTCCCCAGGGCTTGCTGGTGGAGCAAGGCAAGGAAAAGGGAGAGGGGAACAGGTTGTAAAGAAACAGCTACAATTGCCACGACTTCCCACCTATACTGTTGTTTATGTAGAAATACAAAAGTATCTGCAATTAAATAGAATTAATAATGCTGCCAGATATAAGATGTAGCAATTTTCTCTAAATCAGGAACGAATGGAAAATATAAAATATCATGTCAATAGCAAAGATATCAAGTAGGAATAAAATGAAAAATATGCAAGACCTTCATGCAGAAAACTACAAAACACTGTTGAAAGAATTTAGAGAAGGTCTAAATTAACAGAGCGATATGTTGATGGTTAAAGGACTGCGTGGAGAGGCGTCAGTTCTCCGTGTTGATGGTTAAAGGACTGCGTGGAGAGGCGTCAGTTCTCCGTGTTGATGGTTAAAGGACTGCGTGGAGAGGTGTCAGTTCTCCGTGTTGATGGTTAGAGGACTGCGTGGAGAGGTGTCAGTTCTCCGTGTCGATGGTTAGAGGACTGCGTGGAAAGGCGTCAGTTCTCCGTGTTGATGGTTAGAGGACTGCGTGGAAAGGCGTCAGTTCTCCGTGTTGATGGTTAGAGGACTGCGTGGAAAGGCGTCAGTTCTCCCTGTTGATGGTTAAGGACTGCGTGGAAAGTCGTCAGTTCTCCGTGTTGATGGTTAGAGGACTGCGTGGAGAGGCGTCAGTTCTCTGTGTTGATGGTTAGAGGACTGCGTGGAGAGGCGTCAGTTCTCCGTGTTGATGGTTAGAGGACTGCGTGGAGAGGCGTCAGTTCTCTGTGTTGATGGTTAAAGGACTGCGTGGAGAGGTGTCAGTTCTCCGTGTTGATGGTTAGAGGACTGCGTGGAGAGGCGTCAGTTCTCTGTGTTGATGGTTAGAGGACTGCGTGGAAAGGCGTCAGTTCTCCGTGTTGATGGTTAGAGGACTGCGTGGAAAGTCGTTAGTTTGCGTGGAAAGTCGCTGCCCTCCGTGTTGATGGTTAAAGGACTGGGCGTGAGAGGTGTCAAATTCTCCGTGTTGATGGCCAGAGGACCGCGCAGAGGCGCAGTTCTCTGTGTTGATGGTTAAAGGGACTGCGTGGAGAGGCTGGGTTCTCCGTGTTGATGGTTAGAGGACTGCGTGAAAGGCGCGTCCTCCGGTGTTGATGGTTGGGGAAGGACTGCGGAAAGGCCAGTTCTCCGTGTTGATGGTTAGAGGATCGGGCGTGGAAAGGCGCTGTTCTCCTGTTGATGGTTAAGATCATGTGGAAAGCTTCGCCAGTTCTCCGGTGGTTGATGGTTAGAGGACTGGCGTGTGGAGAGGCGCTGCCCTCTGTGTTGATGGTTAAAGGACTGCGTGAGAGGCCAGTTCTCCGTGCTGGGATGGTTAGAGGACTGTGGAAAGGCTGCCCTCCGTGGTTGATGGTTAAAGGACTGCGTGGAAAGGCGCTAGTTCTCCGTGTGGTTGATGGTTAGAGGGACTGCGTGAAAGGCGCTGGGTTCTCCCTGTTGATGGTTAAGGACTCTGGCGTGGAAAGTCGCTGCTCCTCTCAGTGGTTGATGGTTAGAGGACTGTGGAGAGGCGTCAGTTCTGTGTTGATGGTTAAAGGACTGCGTGAGGTGTCAGTTCTCCGTGTTGATGGTTAGAGGACTGCGCGTGGGAGAGGCGCTGCCTCTGTGTTGATGGTTAGAGGGACTGCGTGGAGAGGCGTCAGTTCTCCGGGGTGGTTGGATGGTGCCAGAGGACTGCGTGGAAAGGCGCTAGTCTCCGGTGTTGATGGTTAGAGGACTGCGTGGAAAGCCGTAGTTCTCCGGTTGGCTGGTTAGAGGATCATGGAAAGTCGTTAGTCTCTCCGTGTTGATGGTTAGACTGCGTGGAAAGTCGTTAGTTCCTCCGTGTTGATGGTTAGAGGATCATGGAAAGGCGCTGCTCCTCCGTGTTGATGGTTAGAGGGACTGCATGGAAAGGCGTCGGTCTTCCGTGTTAAGGGTTAGAGGATCATGGAAAGGCCAGTGTCTGTGTTGATGGTTAGGAGGACTGCGTGGA